TACCCCATGGGCCCCACAGACCCCACCCCAGCCCCATAGACCCCCACACCCAACAGGCCCCATAGGCCCCACAGAGCCCACCCCAGCCCCACACCCGCCACACCCCATGGGCCCCACAGACCCCATAGGCCCCACAGACCCCACGCCAGCCCCACAGACCCCACAGGCCCCATAGGCCCCACAGAGCCCAGCCCCATAGAGCCCCCATGGGCCCCATAGACCCCACCCCAGCCCCATAGACCCCCACACCCCACAGACCCCATGGGCCCCATAGACCCCAGCCCAGCCCCACAGACCCCACAGGCCCCATAGACCCCACGGGCCCCATAGACACCACAGAGCCCAGCCCCACAGAGCCCAGCCCAGCCCCACAGAGCCCAGCCCCATAGACCCCATAGAGCCCAGCCCCATAGAGCCCAGCCCCACAGACCCCACAGAGCCCAGCCCCACAGAGCCCAGCCCCATAGAGCCCCCATGGCCCCATAGACCCCACCCCAGCCCCATAGATCCCCACACCCCACAGACCCCATGGGCCCCATAGACCCCAGCCCAGCCCCACAGACCCCACAGGCCCCATAGACCCCACGGGCCCCATAGACCCCACAGAGACCAGCCCCATAGAGCCTCCATGGGCCCATAGACCCCACAGAGCCCAGCCCCACAGAGCCCAGCCCCATAGAGCCCCCATAGGCCCCACAGACCCCACAGAGCCCAGTCCAGCCCCATAGAGCCCCCATAGACCCCACAGAGCCCAGCCCCACAGAGCCCAGCCCCACAGAGCCCAGCCCAGCCCCATAGAGCCCCCATGGGCCCCACAGAGCCCAGCCCCACAGAGCCCCCATCGACCCCACAGACCCCACAGAGCCCAGCCCAGCCCCATAGAGCCCAGCCCCACAGAGCCCAGCCCCATAGACCCCATAGACCCCACAGACCCCACAGAGTCCAGCCCCATAGAGCCCCCACACCCCACAGACCCCACAGAGCCCAGCCCCATAGAGCCCAGCCCCACAGAGCCCAGCCCCATAGAGCCCAGCCCCACAGAGCCCAGCCCAGCCCCACAGAGCCCAGCCCCATAGAGCCCAGCCCCACAGAGCCCAGCCCCACAGAGTCCAGCCCCATAGAGCCCCCACACCCCACAGAGCCCAGCCCCATAGAGCCCAGCCCCACAGAACCCAGCCCCATAGACCCCATAGAGCCCAGCCCCACAGAGCCCCCATGGGCCCCACAGAGCCCAGCCCCATAGAGCCCCCATGGGCCCCATAGACCCCACAGAGCCCAGACCCACAGAGCCCAGCCCCATAGAGCCCAGCCCAGCCCCATAGACCCCACAGAGCCCAGCCCCATAGAGCCCCCATGGGCCCCACAGAGCCCAGCCCCATAGAGCCCAGCCCAGCCCCACAGAGCCCAGCCCCACAGAGTCCAGCCCCATAGAGCCCCCACACCCCACAGACCCCACAGAGCCCAGCCCCATAGAGCCCCATGGGCCCACAGAGCCCAGCCCCATAGAGCCCAGCCCAGCCCCACAGAGCCCCCATAGACCCCACAGAGTCCAGCCCCATAGAGCCCCCACACCCCACAGACCCCACAGAGCCCAGCCCCACAGAGCCCAGCCCCACAGAGCCCAGCCCAGCCCCATAGAGCCCCCATGGGCCCCACAGATCCCCGCCCCACAGATCCCCGCCCCACGGCCCCACCCTTGCAGGCGCTGATCATTTGCAGAACCATCTCTGCCGCCCCCCGCGTGTGCAGCCGCGCCTGCTGGTACCGCAGCTTCTGCTTCTCCATCTCCTTCTCCTGGGGGCGGGGGGCAGGGGGGATGGGGGGAGCTGTGGGGCTGGGGGAGCAGTGGGGCAGCAGGGGGCAGTGGGGATGGGGGGGTTTGGGGCTGGGGGGGGCTGGGAGGGGTCAGTGGGGCTGGGGGGGGTGGGGGGCGGGGGGCTGTGGGGCTGGGGGAGCAGTGGGGCTGGGGGGCTGTGGGGCAGGGAGGGGCTGGGAGGGGTCAGTGGGGCTGGGGGTCAGTGGGGCTGGGGGAGCTGTGGGGCTGGGGGGGCTGTGGGGCTGGGGGAGCAGTGGGGCAGCAGGGGGCAGTGGGGCTGGGGGGTTTGGGGCTGGGGGGGGCTGGGAGGGGTCAGTGGGGCTGGGGGGGGGTGGGGGGGGCTGTGGGGCAGGGAGGGGCTGGGAGGGGTCAGTGGGGCTGGGGGGGGTGGGGGGTGGGGGGGCTGTGGGGCTTGGGGAGCAGTGGGGCTGGGAGGGGTCAGTGGGGCAGTGGGGCTGGGGGGGGCTGTGGGGCTGGGAGGGGCTGGGAGGGGTCAGTGGGGCTGGGGGTCAGTGGGGCTGGGGGGGGCAGTGGGGCTGGGGGGTGGGGGGGGCTGGGGGAGCAGTGGGGCAGCAGGGGGCAGTGGGGCTGGGGGGTGGGAGGGGTCAGTGGGGGCTGGGGGAGCAGTGGGGCTGGAGGGGGCAGTGGGGCTGGGGGGGCAGTGGGGCTGGGGCAGGGGGCAGTGGGGCTATGGGTCAGTGGGGCTGGAGGGGGGCAGTGGGGCTGGGAGGGGTCAGTGGGGCTGGGGGGGCTGTGGGGCTGGGGGCAGTAGGGTGGGGAGGGGCTGTGGGGCTGGATGGGGTCAGCGGGGCAGGGGGGTCAATGGGGCGGAGAGGGGTCAGTGGGGCTGGGGGCAGTGGGGCTACGGGTCAGTGGGGCGGGGGGCTGTGGGGCTGAAGGGGGTCAGTGGGGCTGTGGGGCTGGAGGGGGCAGTGGGGCTATGGTCAGTGGGGCTGGGGGTCAGCAGGGCGGGGGGGCTGTGGGCGGGGCGGGGCAGTGGGGCTGGGGGAGCAGTCGGGCAGTGGGGGCAGTGGGGTGGGGGGGCTGTGGGGCTGGAGGGGGGCAGTGGGGCCAGGGGGGATCAGTGGGGCCAGGGGGGATCAGTGGGGCCAGCGGGGATCAGTGGGGCCAGGGGGGATCAGTGGGGCCAGGGGGGATCAGTGGGGCCAGCGGGGATCAGTGGGTCTATATGGGCTCCTATGAGCTCATAGGGTCCATATGGAGTCATTGAGCCCGCACAGCCCCCATGGGCTCATTGGGTGCCCCATAGGCCCCATAAGTGCCCCATAGGCCCCATGGGCTCACTGGGTGCCCCATAGGTCCCATGGGCTCATTGGGTGCCCCATAGGCCCCATAAGTGCCCCATAGGTCCCATGGGCTCACTGGGTGCCCCATAGGCCCCATGGGCTCCCTGGGTGCCCCATAGGCCCCATAAGTGCCCCATAGGTCCCATGGGCTCACTGTGTGCCCCATAGGCCCCATGGGCTCATTGGGTGCCCATAGGCCCCATAAGTGCCCTATAGGTCCCATGGGCTCACTGTGTGCCCCATAGGCCCCGTGGGCTCATTGGGTGCCCCATAGGCCCCATAAGTGCCCCATAGGTCCCATGGGCTCCCTGGGTGCCCCATAGGCCCCATAAGTGCCCCATAGGCCCCATGGGCTCATTGGGTGCCCCATAGGCCCCATAAGTGCCCCCATAGGTCCCATGGGCTCACTGGGTGCCCCATAGGCCCCATAAGTGCCCCATAGGTCCCATGGGCTCACTGTGTGCCCCATAGGCCCCATGGGCTCATTGGGTGCCCCATAGGCCCCATAAGTGCCCTATAGGTCCCATGGGCTCACTGTGTGCCCCATAGGCCCCGTGGGCTCATTGGGTGCCCCATAGGACCCATAAGTGCCCCATGGGTGCCCCATAGGCCCCATAAGTGCCCCATAGGCCCCATAAGTGCCCACCTCAAAGGAATCCTCCTCTTCTTCCTCCCCCTTCTCCTCCTCCTCTTCCTCCTCCTCCTCCTCAATGTGGCAGCTCTGGGGGGGGGGGGGGGCAAGGCCTCAGCACCCCATAGCGGGGGGGGGGGGGGCACCAGGGCCCTGCCCCACACTTGTGGGGCTGGAGGTGGGGGGGATCCATGGGGCGCTATGGGGCAGGCCCCACCTTGGCCATGATGCCGGCGTAGGCCATGTACAAGTGGTCGCTCTCCAGTTTGCTGCAGGCAATGGGGGGGGACCCCACATCCACCATGGGGGGGGCAGATGGGGGGCACCCCTCGGAGCACCCCATTGAGCCCCCCATCCCATTGCCCCCCATTGACCCACTGCCCCCCATTGCCCCATTGCCCCCCATTGCCCCCCCATTGCCCCATTGCGCCCCCATTGCCCACTGCCCCCATTGCCCCATAGCCCCCCATTGCCCCACTGCCCCCCATTGCCCCATTGCCCCCATTGCCCCACTGCCCCCCATTGCCCCATTGCCCCCCATTGCCCCACTGCCCCCCATTGCCCCCACTGCCCCCCATTGCCCCATTTCCCCCCATTGCCCCCCCATCCCCATTGCCCCCCATTGCCCCCCCATTGGCCCCCATTGCCCCATTGCTCCCCATTGCCCCATTGCCCCCCATTGCCCCCCATTGCCCCCCATTACCCCATTGCCCCCCATGCCCCACTGCCCCCCACTGCCCCCCACCTGCCCTCGGTCAGGGCCGTGCGGCTGAAGTGCAGCACGAGCTGGTGCAGTGGGTCCGGCTTCTTCTCCTCCTCCTCCTCCTCCTCCTCCTCCTCCTGCCCCGAGCGCTGCGACCCCAAAGCAGGGGCTCACAATGGGGCACGCAATGGGGCACGCAATGGGGCACAGCAATGGGGCACGCAATGGGGCACAGCAATGGGGCACACAATGGGGCTCACAATGGGGCACGCAATGGGGCACACAATGGGGCTCACAATGGGGCTCACAATGGGGCACGCAATGGGGCTCACAATGGGGCACGCAATGGGGCACGCAATGGGGCTCACAATGGGGCTCACAATGGGGCACGCAATGGGGGTCACAATGGGGCTCGCAATGGGGCTCGCAATGGAGCTCGCAATGGGGCTCGCAATGGGGCTCACAATGGGGCACGCAATGGGGGTCACAATGGGGCTCGCAATGGGGGTCACAATGGGGCACGCAATGGGGCACGCAATGGGGCACGCAATGGGGCACAGCAATGGGGCACGCAATGGGGGTCACAATGGGGCACGCAATGGGGCTCGCAATGGGGCTCGCAATGGGGCTCGCAATGGGGCTCACAATGGGGCACGCAATGGGGCTCGCAATGGGGCACACAATGGGGCACGCAATGGGGCTCGCAATGGGGCACACAATGGGGCACACAATGGGGCACGCAATGGGGGTCACAATGGGGCTCGCAATGGGGCACGCAATGGGGCACGCAATGGGGCTCGCAATGGGGCACGCAATGGGGCTCGCAATGGGGCACACAATGGGGCTCGCAATGGGGCACACAATGGGGCACACAATGGGGCACGCAATGGGGCTCACAATAGGGGTCACAATGGGGGAGTGCAATGGGGCTCACAATGGGGCACGCAATGGGGCAGGCAATGGGGCACGCAATGGGGCATGCAATGGGGCATGCAATGGGGGTCACAATGGGGCTGATATGGGTCAGCGCTATGGGGCCGCTGTGGGGCAGCGCTATGGGGTGATCTGGGGCAGCACTATGGGGGTGCTGTGGGGCAACGCTATGTGACCGCTGTGGGTCAGTGCTGTGGGGTGCTGTGGGTCAGCGCTATGGGGCTCTGTGGGGCGCTGTGGGTCAGCGCTATGGGTCAGCGCTATGGGTCAGCGCTATGGGGCGCTATGGGGCGCTGTGGGTCAGCGCTATGGGTCAGCGCTATGGGGCGCTGTGGGTCAGCGCTATGGGTCAGCGCTATGGGGCGCTATGGGGCGCTGTGGGTCAGCGCTATGGGGCGCTATGGGGCGCTGTGGGTCAGCGCTGTGGGTCAGCGCTATGGGTCAGTGCTATGGGGCGCTATGGGCGCTGTGGGTCAGCGCTATGGGTCAGCGCTATGGGTCAGCGCTATGGGGCGCTATGGGTCAGCGCTATGGGTCAGCACTATGGGTCAGCACTATGGGGCGCTATGGGGCGCTGTGGGTCAGTGCTATGGGTCAGCGCCTATGGGGCGCTATGGGGCGCTGTGGGTCAGTGCTATGGGTCAGCGCTATGGGGGGCTATGGGGCGCTGTGGGTCAGCGCTATGGGGCGCTATGGGGCGCTGTGGGTCAGTGCTATGGGTCAGCGCTATGGGCGCTATGGGGCGCTGTGGGTCAGCGCTATGGGGCGCTATGGGGCGCTGTGGGTCAGCGCTATGGGTCAGCACTATGGGGCGCTATGGGGCGCTGTGGGTTCAGTGCTATGGGGCGCTGTGGGTCAGCGCTATGGGGCGCTATGGGGCGCTATGGGTCAGCGCTATGGGGCCTATGGGTCAGCGCTATGGGTCAGCACTATGGGTCAGCGCTATGGGGCGCTATGGGTCAGCGCTATGGGGCGCTATGGGGCGCTATGGGTCAGCACTATGGGGTGCTATGGGGCACTGTGGGTCAGCGCTATGGGGCGCTATGGGTCAGTGCTATGGGGCGCTATGGGGCGCTATGGGTCAGCGCTATGGGGTGCTATGGGGCGCTATGGGTCAGCGCTATGGGTCAGCACTATGGGCGCTATGGGGCGCTATGGGTCAGTGCTATGGGGCGCTGTGGGTCAGCGCTATGGGCGCTATGGGGCGCTATGGGTCAGCGCTATGGGTCAGCGCTATGGGGCGCTATGGGTCAGCGCTATGGGTCAGCGCTATGGGGCGCTATGGGTCAGCGCTATGGGTCAGCGCTATGGGGCGCTATGGGTCAGCGCTGTGGGTCAGCGCTATGGGGCGCTGCTCACGGCCAGGTCGTCGATCATGCGGTCCTCGAAGGGGTGCTCCTGCGGCTGCAGCCACTGCGCTCTGTAGGCCTCCAGGAAGAGGTTGCAGGCGCGGTGCCTGCGGGACCGGAGCCTCCCAGTTCAAACCAGTTCAAACCCAGCTCATCCCATTGGCTCCCATTGGCCCCCGTTGGCCCCCGCTGTCTCCCATTGGCCCCCATTGGCTCCCATTGTCTCCCATTGGCTCCCAGTCCCCCCCACTGGCTCCCATTGGCCCCCGTTGGCCCCCGTTGTCTCCCATTGGCTCCCGTTGTCTCCCATTGGCCCCCGTTGGCCCCCGCTGCCTCCCATTGGCTCCCGTTGTCTCCCATTGGCTCCCGTTGGCTCCCATTGGCTCCCAGTCCCCCCCGCTGGCTCCCGCTGTCTCCCATTGGCCCCCGTTGGCCCCCGCTGCCTCCCATTGGCCCCCATTGCCTCCCATTGGCCCCCATTGGCTCCCGTTGGCTCCCGTTGGCTCCCGTTGGCTCCCATTGGCTCCCGTTGTCTCCCATTGGCTCCCGCTGCCTCCCATTGGCTCCCGTTGTCTCCCATTGGCTCCCAGTCCCCCCCGTTGTCTCCCATTGGCTCCCGTTGGATCCCATTGGCTCCCAGTCCCCCCCGCTGGCTCCCGCTGCCTCCCATTGGCCCCCATTGGCTCCCGTTGTCTCCCATTGGCTCCCGTTGTCTCCCATTGGCTCCCGTTGTCTCCCATTGGCTCCCGTTGTCTCCCATTGGCTCCCGTTGTCTCCCGTTGGATCCCATTGGCTCCCAGTCCCCCCCGCTGGCTCCCATTGGCTCCCGGCGGCGCGCACCTGGGCAGGTTGTAGAGCGGGGCCATGCGGAAGCAGGCGACCACGGCGCGGCGCCGCTGCTTGGAGAGGAGCTTGTGCCACACGGCCCTCTTGGAGCGGAAGGCGTGCTCCGTCTGCCGGCAACCAATGGGCACCCTCAGCACCCAATGGGGACCCTCAACACCCAATGGGGACCCTCAACACCCAATGGGGACCCTCAACACCCAATGGGGACCCTCAACACCCAATGGGGACCCTCAGCACCCAATGGGGACCCTCAGCACCCAACGGCACCCAATGGGCACCCTCAGCACTCAATGGGCACCCTCAGCACCCAATGGGGACCCTCAGCACCCAATGGGCACCCTCAGCACCCAATGGGCACCCAATGGGCACCCTCAGCACCCAATGGGCACCCTCAGCACCCAATGGGGACCCTCAGCACCCAATGGGCACCCAATGGGCACCCTCAGCACCCAATGGGCACCCTCGGCACCCAATGGGGACCCTCAGCACCCAATGGGCACCCTCAGCACCCAATGGGGACCCTCAGCACCCAATGGGCACCCAATGGGCACCCTCAGCACCCAATGGGCACCCAATGGGCACCCAATGGGGACCCTCAGCACCCAATGGGGACCCTCGGCACCCAATGGGGACCCTCAGCACCCAACGGCACCCAATGGGGACCCTCAGCACCCAATGGGGACCCTCAGCACCCAATGGGCACCCAATGGGCACCCTCAGCACCCAATGGGCACCCTCAGCACCCAATGGGGACCCTCAGCACCCAATGGGCACCCTCAGCACCCAGTGGGCACCCTCAGCACCCAATGGGGATCCTCAACACCCAATGGGCACCCTCAGCACCCAATGGGCACCCTCAGCACCCAACGGCACCCAATGGGGACCCTCAGCACCCAATGGGCACCCTCAGCACCCAATGGGGACCCTCAGCACCCAATGGGCACCCAATGGGCACCCTCAGCACCCAATGGGCACCCAACGGGCACCCAATGGGCACCCTCAGCACCCAACGGCACCCAATGGGGACCCTCGGCACCCAATGGGGACCCTCAGCACCCAATGGGGATCCTCAACACCCAATGGGCACCCTCAGCACCCAATGGGCACCCAATGGGCACCCTCAGCACCCAATGGGCACCCTCAGCACCCAACGGCACCCAATGGGGACCCTCAGCACCCAATGGGCACCCTCAGCACCCAATGGGGACCCTCAGCACCCAATGGGCACCCAATGGGCACCCTCAGCACCCAATGGGGACCCTCAGCACCCAACGGCACCCAATGGGCACCCTCAGCACCCAATGGGGACCCTTGGCACCCAATAGGGACCCTCAGCACCCAATGGGGACCCTCAACACCCAATGGGGACCCTCAGCACCCAATGGGGACCCTCGCACCCAATGGGCACCCTCAGCACCCAACGGCACCCAATGGGCACCCTCAGCACTCAATGGGCACCCTCAGCACCCAATGGGCACCCTCAGCACCCAATGGGGACCCTCAACACCCAATGGGCACCCAATGGGCACCCTCAGCACCCAATGGGCACCCAATGGGGACCCTCAGCACCCAATGGGGACCCTCGGCACCCAGTGGGGACCCTCAGCACCCAATGGGGACCCTCAGCACCCAATGGGCACCCTCAGCACCCAGTGGGCACCCTCAGCACCCAGTGGGCACCCTCAACACCCAATGGGGACCCTCAGCACCCAATGGGCACCCTCAGCACCCAATGGGGATCCTCAACACCCAATGGGCACCCTCAGCACCCAATGGGCACCCAATGGGCACCCTCAGCACCCAACGGCACCCAATGGGGACCCTCGGCACCCAATGGGGACCCTCAGCACCCAGTGGGCACCCTCAGCACCCAGTGGGCACCCAATGGGCACCCTCAGCACCCAATGGGCACCCAACGGGCACCCAATGGGCACCCTCAGCACCCAACGGCACCCAATGGGGACCCTCAGCACCCAATGGGCACCCTCAGCACCCAATGGGCACCCAATGGGCACCCTCAGCACCCAATGGGCACCCAATGGGGACCCTCAGCACCCAATGGGCACCCTCAGCACCCAATGGGCACCCTCAGCACCCAACGGCACCCAATGGGGACCCTCGGCACCCAATGGGCACCCAATGGGCACCCAATGGAGACCCTCAGCACCCAATGGGCACCCTCAGCACCCAATGGGGACCCAATGGGGACCCTCAGCACCCAATGGGGACCCTCGGCACCCAATGGGGTCCCTCAGCACCCAATGGGGACCCTCAGCACCCAATGGGCACCCTCAGCACCCAATGGGGACCCTTGGCACCCAATAGGGACCCTCAGCACCCAATGGGGACCCTCGGCACCCAATGGGGACCCTTGGCACCCAATAGGGACCCTCAGCACCCAATGGGGACCCTCGGCACCCAATGGGGACCCTCAGCACCCAACAGCACCCAATGGGCACCCTCAGCACTCAATGGGCACCCAATGGGCACCCAATGGAGACCCTCAGCACCCAATGGGCACCCTCAGCACCCAATGGGCACCCTCAGCACCCAACGGCACCCAATGGGGACCCTCGGCACCCAATGGGGACCCTCAGCACCCAATGGGCACCCTCAGCACCCAATGGGCACCCAATGGGGACCCTCAGCACCCAGTGGGCACCCTCAGCACCCAATGGGCACCCTCAGCACCCAATGGGCACCCAATGGGCACCCTCAGCACCCAATGGGGACCCTCAGCACCCAATGGGGACCCTCAACACCCAATGGGGACCCTCAGCACCCAATGGGGACCCTCGCACCCAATGGGCACCCTCGGCACCCAATGGGGACCCTCAGCACCCAATGGGCACCCTCAGCACCCAATGGGGACCCTCAGCACCCAATGGGCACCCAATGGGCACCCTCAGCACCCAATGGGCACCCAATGGGGACCCTCAGCACCCAATGGGTACCCTCGGCACCCAATGGGGACCCTCAGCACCCAACGGCACCCAATGGGGACCCTCAGCACCCAATGGGGACCCTCAGCACCCAATGGGCACCCAATGGGCACCCTCAGCACCCAATGGGCACCCTCAGCACCCAATGGGCACCCAATGGGCACCCTCAGCACCCAATGGGGACCCTCGGCACCCAATGGGGACCCTCAGCACCCAATGGGGACCCTCAACACCCAATGGGGACCCTCAGCACCCAATGGGGACCCTCAGCACCCAACGGCACCCAATGGGCACCCTCAGCACTCAATGGGCACCCTCAGCACCCAATGGGCACCCTCAGCACCCAATGGGCACCCAATGGGCACCCTCAGCACCCAATGGGCACCCTCAGCACCCAATGGGGACCCTCAGCAGCCAATGGGCACCCTCAGCACCCAATGGGCACCCTCGGCACCCAATGGGGACCCTCAGCACCCAATGGGCACCCTCAGCACCCAATGGGGACCCTCAGCACCCAATGGGCACCCAATGGGCACCCTCAGCACCCAATGGGCACCCAATGGGCACCCAATGGTCACCCTCAGCACCCAATGGGGACCCTCGGCACCCAATGGGGACCCTCAGCACCCAACGGCACCCAATGGGGACCCTCAGCACCCAATGGGGACCCTCAGCACCCAATGGGCACCCAATGGGCACCCTCAGCACCCAATGGGCACCCTCAGCACCCAATGGGCACCCAATGGGCACCCTCAGCACCCAATGGGGACCCTCGGCACCCAATGGGGACCCTCGGCACCCAATGGGCACCCTCAGCACCCAATGGGCACCCTCAGCACCCAATGGGCACCCAATGGGGACCCTCGGCACCCAATGGGGACCCTCAGCACCCAATGGGCACCCTCAGCACCCAATGGGGACCCTCAGCACCCAATGGGCACCCAATGGGCACCCTCAGCACCCAATGGGCACCCAATGGGCACCCTCAGCACCCAATGGGCACCCAATGGGGACCCTCAGCACCCAATGGGGACCCTCAGCACCCAATGGGCACCCTCAGCACCCAATGGGCACCCTCAGCACCCAGTGGGCACCCTCAGCACCCAATGGGGACCCTCAGCACCCAATGGGCACCCTCAGCACCCAGTGGGCACCCTCAGCACCCAATGGGGACCCTCAGCACCCAACGGCACCCAATGGGCACCCTCAGCACCCAACGGCACCCAATGGGGACCCTCAGCACCCAACGGCACCCAATGGGGACCCTCGGCACCCAGTGGGGACCCTCAGCACACAACAGCACCCAACGGCACCCAGCGGTACCCAATGGCACCCAACGACACCCAATGACACCCAACGGCACCCAATGGCACTCAATGACACCCAACTGCACTCAATGACACCCAATGGCACCCAGTGGCACCAATGGCACTCAATGGCACCCAATGACACCCCGTGGCACCAATGGCACTCAATGGCACCCAATGGCACTCAATGACACCCAATGGCACTCAATGACACCCAATGGCACCCAATGACCCAATGGCACCCAATGGCACTCAATGACACTCAACTGCACTCAATGGCACCCAATGGCACCAACGGCACCCAACGGCACCCAATGGCACTCGACGACACCCAACGGCACCCAACGACACCCAACAGCAAGCAACGGCACCCAATGGCACTCAACGACACCCAACGGCACCCAACGACACCCAACGGCACCCAATGGGCGCAGACCTGCTCGAGGTGGTAGAGCACGGCCACCACCTCCTGCACCCTGCGCATGATCCCAATGGGGACCCCATGACCCAACAGCACTCAATGACACCAGTGACACCCAATGGCACCCAACGACACCCAACAGCACTCAATGACACCAATGACACCCAATGGCACCCAACGACACCCAACGGCACTCAATGACACCAATGGCACCCAATGGCACCCAACGACACCCAATGGCACCCAATGACACCCAACAGCACCCAACGGCACCCAATGACACCCAACGGCACCCAATGGCACCCAATGACACCCAATGACACCCAACGACACCCAATGGTACCCAATGACACCCAATGGCACTCAATGGCACCAATGGCACCCAATGGCACCCAATGGCACCAATGGCACCCAATGGTACCCAATGGCACTCAATGGCACTCAATGACACCCAACGACACCCAACGACACCCAATGGCACCCAATGACACCCAATGGCACCCAATGGCACCCAATGTTACCCAATGACACCCAATGGCACCCAATGGCACCCAATGGCACCCAATGACACCCAATGGCACCCAATGGCACCCAATGGCACTCAATGACACCCAACGGCACCCAATGGGCGCAGACCTGCTCGAGGTGGTAGAGCACGGCCGCCACCTCCTGCACCCTGCACACGATCCCAATGGGGACCCCATGACCCAACAGCACTCAATGACACCAATGACACCCAATGGCACCCAATGGCACCCAATGGCACCCAACGACACCCAACGGCACCCAATGGGCGCAGACCTGCTCGAGGTGGTAGAGCACGGCCACCACCTCCTGCACCCTGCGCATGATCCCAATGGGGACCCCATGACCCAACAGCACTCAATGACACCAGTGACACCCAATGGCACCCAACGACACCCAACAGCACTCAATGACACCAATGACACCCAATGGCACCCAACGACACCCAACGGCACTCAATGACACCAATGGCACCCAATGGCACCCAACGACACCCAATGGCACCCAATGACACCCAACAGCACCCAACGGCACCCAATGACACCCAACGGCACCCAATGGCACCCAATGACACCCAATGACACCCAACGACACCCAATGGTACCCAATGACACCCAATGGCACTCAATGGCACCAATGGCACCCAATGGCACCAATGGCACCCAATGGTACCCAATGGCACTCAATGGCACTCAATGACACCCAACGACACCCAACGACACCCAATGGCACCCAATGACACCCAACGACACCCAACGACACCCAATGGCACCCAATGACACCCAATGGCACCCAATGGCACCCAATGTTACCCAATGACACCCAATGGCACCCAATGGCACCCAATGGCACCCAATGACACCCAATGGCACCCAATGGCACCCAATGGCACTCAATGACACCCAACGGCACCCAATGGGCGCAGACCTGCTCGAGGTGGTAGAGCACGGCCGCCACCTCCTGCACCCTGCACACGATCCCAATGGGGACCCCATGACCCAACAGCACTCAATGACACCAATGACACCCAATGGCACCCAACAACACCCAACGGCACCCAATGGCACTCAATGACACCCAACTGCACTCAATGACACCCAATGACACCCGTGGCACCAATGGCACTCAATGGCACCCAATGGCACCCAAACGACACCCAATGGCACCCAACGACACCCAACGGCACCCAATGGGCGCAGACCTGCTCGAGGTGGTAGAGCACGGCTGCCACCTCCTGCACCCTGCGCATGATCCCAATGGGGACCCCATGACCCAACAGCACTCAATGACACCAATGACACCCAATGGCACCCAATGTCACTCAATGACACCCAATGGCACCCAATGGCACTCAATGGCGCCCAATGGCACCCAATGGCAACCAACGGCACCCAATGGCACTCAATGACACCCAATGGCACCCAATGACCCAATGGCACCCAAAGGCACTCAATAACACCCAACTGCACTCAATGGCACCCAATGGCACCCAACGGCACCCAACAGCCCTCAACGACAGCCAACGGCACCCAATGGCACCAATGGCACCCAATGGCACCCAATGACACCCAATGACACCCAACGACACCCAATGGTACCCAATGACACCCAATGGCACCCAATGGCACCCAATGGCACCCAATGGCACCCAATGTTACCCAATGGCACCCAATGGCACCCAATGACACCCAATGGCACCCAATGGCACCCAATGGGCGCAGACCTGCTCGAGGTGGTAGAGCACGGCCGCCACCTCCTGCACCCTGCGCACGACGCGCTCGGGGCTCTCGGCGTCCGCCGCCTTCCCGGCGAGCTCCCGGTACAGATCCAGCTGCCAGCGCAGCGAGGAGCTGTTCTCCACCTGCGACATGGGGGGCAATGGGGGGCAATGGGGCATGGGGGGCAATGGGGGGCAATGGGGACATGGGGGGCAATGGGGGGCAATGGGGCATGGGGGGCAATGGGGACATGGGGGGCAATGGGGGGCAATGGGGCAATGGGGACATGGGGGGGAATGGGGGGCAATGGGGGGCAATGGGGGGCAATGGGGACATGGGGGCAATGGGGGCAATGGGGGACATGGGGGGCAATGGGGGCAATGGGGGCAATGGGGGGCAATGGGACAATGGGGGCAATAGGGGGAATGGGGACATGGGGGTCATGGGGGGCATGGGGGGCAATGGGGGCAATGGGGGGGCAAAGGGGGACATGGGGGGCAATGGGGCAATGGGGGGAATGGGGGTCATGGGGGGCAATGGGGGCAATGGGAACAAGGGGGGGCAATGGGGGCTACAGGGGGAATGGGGGGCAATGGGGGGCAATGGGGCAAAGGTGGACACGGGGGTCATGGGGGGGCAATGGGGGCAATGAGGCAATGGGGTTAATGGGGGGCAATGGGTCTCAATGGGGTTCAATGGGGTCAATGGTGATCAATGGGGCTCAGAGGGGCTCAATGGGGTTCAATGGGGTTCAATGGGGCTCAGTGGGGCTCAGTGGGTCTCAATGGGTCTCAAAGGGGCTCAATGGGGCTCAATGGGGTCAATGGTGATCAGTGGGGCTCAATGGGGCTCAGTGGGGCTCAGTGGGTCTCAAAGGGGCTCAATGGGGTTCAATGGGGTCAATGGTGATCAGTGGGGCTCAATGGGGTTCAATGGGGCTCAATGGGTCTCAATGGGTCTCAAAGGGGCTCAATGGGGCTCAATGGGGTCAATGGTGATCAGTGGGGCTCAATGGGGTTCAATGGGGCTCAATGGGGCTCAGTGGGGCTCAATGGGGCTCAGTGGGGCTGGAGGGGTCTGACCTTGCTCTGCAGGTGCAGGTTGTTGCTCAGGAACTCCCGCACCTCCTCGTCCGTGTCCTTCTGTGGGGCACAGAGCGGAACCGGCTCAGGAGGGGCCCTCAAGGGGGTGAAGCCCCATAACTGACCCCCAACCCCATAACTGACCCCAACCCCATAACTGACCCCAACCCCATAACTGACCCCCAACCCCATAACTGACCCCAACCCCATAACTGACCCCCAACCCCATAACTGACCCCCAACCCCATAACTGACCCCCAACCCCATAACTGACCCCAACCCCATAACTGACCCCAACCCCATAACTGACCCCAACCCCATAACTGACCCCAACCCCATAACTGACCCCAACCCCATAACTGACCCCAACACCATAACTGACCCCAACCCCATAACTGACCCCCAACCCCATAACTGACCCCAACCCCATAACTGACCCCCAACCCCATAACTGACCCCAACCCCATAACTGACCCCAACCCCATAACTGACCCCCAACCCCATAACTGACCCCCAACCCCATAACTGACCCCAACCCCATAACTGACCCCCAACCCCATAACTGACCCCAACCCCATCAGCCCCATAGCCCATAACTGACCCCAACCCCATAACTGACCCCAACCCCATAACTGACCCCCAACCCCATAACTGACCCCAACCCCATAACTGACCCCCAACCCCATAACTGACCCCCAACCCCATCAGCCCCATAGCCCCATAACTGACCCCCAACCCCATAACTGACCCCCAACCCCATAACTGACCCCAACCCCATAACTGACCCCAACCCCATAACTGACCCCCAACCCCATAACTGACCCCAACCCCATAACTGACCCCCAACCCCATAACTGACCCCCAACCCCATCAGCCCCATAGCCCCATAACTGACCCCCCAACCCCATAACTGACCCCCAACCCCATAACTGACCCCAACCCCATAACTGACCCCCAACCCCATAACTGACCCCCAACCCCATCAGCCCCATAGCCCCATAACTGACCCCCAACCCCATAACTGACCCCAACCCCATAACTGACCCCCAACCCCATAACTGACCCCCAACCCCATAACTGACCCCAACCCCATAACTGACCCCCAACCCCCATAACTGACCCCAACCCCATAACTGACCCCAACCCCATAACTGACCCCCAACCCCATAACTGACCCCAACCCCATAACTGACCCCCAACCCCATCAGCCCCATAGCCCCATAACTGACCCCAACCCCATAACTGACCCCCAACCCCATAACTGACCCCCAACACCATCAGCCCCATAGCCCCAGAACTGACCCCCAACCCCATCAGCCCCATAGCCCCATAACTGACCCCCAACCCCATCAGCCCCATAGCCCCATAACTGACCCCCAACCCCATAACTGACCCCCAACCCCATCAGCCCCATAGCCCCATAACTGACCCCCAACCCCGTCACCCCCATAGCCCCATAACTGACCCCCAACCCCATAACTGACCCCCAACCCCATAACTGACCCCCAACCCCGTCACCCCCATAGCCCCATAACCCCATCACCCCCATAACCACCCCACAACCCCGTCACCCCATAACCCTGCTATGGGTCGTCCCCCCTCTCCCATCACCCCATAACCCCCTCTATGAGTCCATCCCCCCATAACCCCATCACCCCATAACCCCCCTCATCCCTTCCCACCCCCTCCATGGCTCCCCCATCCCACCCCCCACCAACTCTATGGGTCCCCCACCATAGGTGCCCCCCTCCCCCCCATGGGTGCCCCCCTCCCCCACCATGGGTGCCCCCCTCCCCCCCATGGGTGCCCCACTCCCCCCCCATAGGTGCCCCCCTCCCCCCCATAGGTGCCCCCCCCCCCCCCATGGGTGCTCCCCTCCCCCCCCATAGGTGCCCCCCCTCCCCCACCATGGGTGCCCCCCTCCCCCCCCATAGGTGCCCCCCTCCCCCACCATGGGTGCCCCCCTCCCCTTCATGGGTGCCCCCCTCTCTCCCCCATAGGTGCCCCCCCCTCCCCATGGGTGCCCCCCACCCCATAGGTGCCCCCCTCCCCCCCATAGGTGCCCCCCTCCCCCACCATGGGTGCCCCCTCCCCCCCCATAGGTGCCCCCCTCCCCCACCATGGGTGCCCCCCTCCCCCCCCAATGGGTGCTCCCCTTCCCCCCCATGGGTGCTCCCCTCCCCCCCCATGGGTGCTCCCCTCCCCATGGGTGCCCCCCCCCCACCATAGGTGCCCCCCCCCCCCCCATAGGTGCCCCCCTCCCCCACCATGGGTGCTCCCCTCCCCCCCATGGGTGCTCCCCTCCCCCACCATCGCGTAGCGCCCCTTGGCCATGGCCATGAGCTCCTGGTCCGCGGGGGAGCAGAGGTTGAGGCCGATGGGGAGCAGCTTCTTGAGCGTGGCCACGATGAGCGAGGTGCGCACCGAGTACCGGTCCCCACGCCGGGGGGCGCCCGCGCGGCGCTCAGGGGGGCCCTGGGGGGCAGGACCCAGAGAGAGCCATGGGGGACCCATAGAGAGTGATGGGGGACCCATAGAGAGTGATGGGGGACCCATAGGGAGTGATGGAGCAGTGATTGGGACCCATAGAGAGCGATGGAGCAGTGATTGGGACCCATAGAGAGCGATGGAGCAGTGATTGGGACCCATAGAGAGTGATGGAGCAGTGATTGGGACCCATAGAGAGTGATGGAGCAGTGATTGGGACCCATAGAGAGCCATGGAGCAGTGATTGGGACCCATAGAGAGTGATGGAGCAGGGATTGGGACCCATAGAGAGTGATGGAGCAGTGATTGGGACCCATAGAGAGTGATGGAGCAGTGATTGGGACCCATAGAGAGCCATGGGGCAGGGATTGGGACCCATAGAGAGCCATGGGGCAGGGATTGGGACCCATAGAGAGCCATGGGGCAGGGATTGGGACCCATAGAGAGCGATGGAGCAGTGATTGGGACCCATAGAGAGTGATGGGGGACCCATAGAGAGTGATGGGGGACCCATAGAGAGTGATGGGGGACCCATAGAGAGCAATGGGGGACCCATAGAGAGTGATGGGGGACCCATAGAGAGCAATGGGGGACCCATAGAGAGCGATGGAGCAGGGATTGGGACCCATAGAGAGTGATGGAGCAGTGATTGGGACCCATAGAGAGTGATGGAGCAGTGATTGGGACCCATAGAGAGTGATGGAGCAGGGATTGGGACCCGTAGAGAGTGATGGAGCAGGGATTGGGACCCATAGAGAGTGATGGAGCAGTGATTGGGACCCATAGAGAGTGATGGAGCAGGGATTGGGACCCATAGAGAGCGATGGAGCAGGGATTGGGACCCATAGAGAGCCATGGAGCAGTGATTGGGACCCATAGAGAGCCATGGGGCAGGGATTGGGACCCATAGAGAGCGATGGAGCAGTGATTGGGACCCATAGAGAGTGATGGAGCAGGGATTGGGACCCATAGAGAGCCATGGAGCAGGGACTGGGACCCATAGAGAGCCATGGGGCAGGGATTGGGACCCATAGAGAGCCATGGGGCAGGGATTGGGACCCATAGCGAAGGGATGGGGAGCGTGGTCACGATGAGCGAGGTGCGCACCGAGTACCGGTCCCCACGCCGGGGGGCGCCCGCGCGGCGCTCAGGGGGGCCCTGGGGGGCAGGACCCACACAGAACCATGGGGGACCCATAGAGAGCAATGGGGGACCCATAGAGAGTGATGGGGGACCCATAGAGAGTGATGGAGCAGTGATTGGGACCCATAGAGAGTGATGGAGCAGGGATTGGGACCCATAGAGAGTGATGGAGCAGTGATTGGGACCCATAGAGAGTGATGGAGCAGGGATTGGGACCCATAGAGAGTGATGGAGCAGTGATTGGGACCCATAGAGAGTGATGGAGCAGTGATTGGGACCCATAGAGAGTGATGGAGCAGGGATTGGGACCCATAGAGAGCCATGGAGCAGTGATTGGGACCCATAGAGAGCCATGGGGCAGGGATTGGGACCCATAGAGAGCGATGGAGCAGTGATTGGGACCCATAGAGAGTGATGGAGCAGGGATTGGGACCCATAGAGAGCCATGGAGCAGGGACTGGGACCCATAGAGAGCCATGGGGCAGTGATTGGGACCCATAGAGAGCCATGGGGCAGGGATTGGGACCCATAGCGAAGGGATGGGGAGCGTGGCCACGATGAGCGAGGTGCGCACCGAGTACCGGTCCCCACGCCGGGGGGCGCCCGCGCGGCGCTCAGGGGGGCCCTGGGGGGCAGGACCCAGAGAGAACCATGGGGGACCCATAGAGAGCAATGGGGGACCCATAGAGAGTGATGGGGGACCCATAGAGAGTGATGGGGGACCCATAGAGACCAATGGGGGACCCATAGAGAGTGATGGGGGACCCATAGGGAGTGATGGGGGACCCATAGAGAGTGATGGAGCAGGGATTGGGACCCATAGAGAGTGATGGAGCAGTGATTGGGACCCATAGAGAGTGATGGAGCAGGGATTGGGACCCATAGAGAGTGATGGAGCAGTGATTGGGACCCATAGAGAGCGATGGAGCAGTGATTGGGACCCATAGAGAGTGATGGAGCAGTGATTGGGACCCATAGAGAGCGATGGAGCAGTGATTGGGACCCATAGAGAGTGATGGAGCAGTGATTGGGACCCATAGAGAGTGATGGAGCAGTGATTGGGACCCATAGAGAGCGATGGAGCAGGGATTGGGACCCATAGAGAGTGATGGAGCAGTGATTGGGACCCATAGAGAGTGATGGAGCAGTGATTGGGACCCATAGAGAGTGATGGAGCAGTGATTGGGACCCATAGAGAGCGATGGAGCAGTGATTGGGACCCATAGAGAGTGATGGAGCAGTGATTGGGACCCATAGAGAGTGATGGAGCAGTGATTGGGAACCATAGAGAGTGATGGAGCAGTGATTGGGACCCATAGAGAGCGATGGAGCAGGGATTGGGACCCATAGAGAGCCATGGGGCAGTGATTGGGACCCATAGAGAGTGATGGAGCAGTGATTGGGACCCATAGAGAGTGATGGAGCAGTGATTGGGACCCATAGAGAGCGATGGAGCAGTGATTGGGAACCCATAGAGAGTGATGGAGCAGTGATTGGGACCCATAGAGAGTGATGGAGCAGTGATTGGGACCCATAGAGAGTGATGGAGCAGTGATTGGGAACCATAGAGAGTGATGGAGCAGGGATTGGGACCCATAGAGAGCGATGGAGCAGTGATTGGGACCCATAGAGAGCCATGGGGCAGTGATTGGGACCCATAGAGAGTGATGGAGCAGTGATTGGGACCCATAGAGAGCGATGGAGCAGGGATTGGGACCCATAGAGAGCCATGGGGCAGGGATTGGGACCCATAGAGAGTGATGGAGCAGTGATTGGGACCCATAGAGAGTGATGGAGCAGTGATTGGGACCCATAGAGAGCGATGGAGCAGGGATTGGGACCCATAGAGAGCCATGGGGCAGGGATTGGGACCCATAGAGAGTGATGGAGCAGTGATTGGGACCCATAGAGAGTGATGGAGCAGTGATTGGGACCCATAGAGAGTGATGGAGCAGTGATTGGGACCCATAGAGAGCAATGGAGCAGTGATTGGGACCCATAGAGAGTGATGGAGCAGTGATTGGGACCCATAGAGAGTGATGGAGCAGTGATTGGAACCCATAGAGAGTGATGGAGCAGTGATTGGGACACATAGAGAGCCATGGAGCAGTGATTGGGACCCATAGAGAGCGATGGAGCAGTGATTGGGACCCATAGAGAGCCATGGGGCAGTGATTTGGGACCCATAGAGAGTGATGGAGCAGTGATTGGGACCCATAGAGAGCGATGGAGCAGGGATTGGGACCCATAGAGAGCCATGGGGCAGGGATTGGGACCCATAGAGAGTGATGGAGCAGTGATTGGGACCCATAGAGAGTGATGGAGCAGTGATTGGGACCCATAGAGAGCGATGGAGCAGGGATTGGGACCCATAGAGAGCCATGGGGCAGGGATTGGGACCCATAGAGAGTGATGGAGCAGTGATTGGGACCCATAGAGAGCCATGGGGCAGGGATTGGGACCCATAGAGAGCCATGGGGCAGGGATTGGGACCCATAGAGAGCCATGGGGCAGGGATTTGGGACCCATAGAGAGTGATGGAGCAGTGAATGGGACCCATAGAGAGCCATGGGGCAGGGATTGGGAACCCATAGAGAGCCATGGGGCAGGGATTGGGACCCATAGCGAAGGGATGGGGAGCGTGGCCACGATGAGCGAGGTGCGCACCGAGTACCGGTCCCCACGCCGGGGGGCGCCCGCGCGGCGCTCAGGGGGGCCCTGGGGGGCAGGACCCAGAGAGAACCATGGGGGACCCATAGAGAGTGATGGGGGACCCATAGCAAAAGGGTGGGGGCAGTGACTGGGACCCATAGCGGAGGGAGGCGGGACCCATAGCAAAGGGATGGGAGCCCCACAGCAAAGGGATGGGAGCAGCAATGGGAGCCCCATAGCAAAGGGACGAGGCAGCGATGGGAGCCCCATAGCAAAGCGATGGGAGCCCCATAGCAGAGGGATGAGGCAGCGATGGGAGCCCCATAGCAAAGGGATGGGAGCCCCATAGCAAAGGGATGGGAGCAGCGATGGGGGCCCCATAGCAAAGGGATGGGAGCCCCATAGCAAAGGGATGGGAGCCCCATAGCAAAGGGATGGGAGCCCCATAGCAAAGGGATGAAGCAGCGATGGGAGCCCCATAGCAAAGGGATGGGAGCCCCATAGCAAAGGGATGGGAGCCCCATAGCAAAGCGATGGGAGCCCCATAGCAAAGGGATGGGAGCCCCATAGCAGAGGGACGAGGCAGCGATGGGAGCCCCGGTGCCCCCAGCCCCAGCTGTGAGCCTATGGGGCAGGACCCCCCCATGTCCCCATAGAGGGGGTGCCCCGGAGGGCTCTGGGGTCCCCCCCCACTGACCTGGCCATCTCCGGACTGGGGGTCAGCACCCACAGGCAGGAGGAGAGAAGAGACAGGATTAGGTCCTGGGGGGTTATGGGGGGCTTGGGGGTCCCGGGACCATGGGGGTGGATGGGGAGGGGTTGGTTATGGGGCGGTTTGGGGGGGTTATGGGGCGGTTTGGGGGGGGTTATGGGGCGGTTTGGGGGGGTTATGGGGGGTTTTGGGGGTACCAGGACCATTGGGATGGATGGAGAGGGGTGGGGATGGGTTGGTTATGGGGTGGTTTGGGGGGGTTATGGGGGGGTTTGGGGGTCCCGGGACCATTGGGATGAATGGGGATGGGTGGGTTGGGGGGCACTGGGTTGGTTATGGGGTGGTTTGGGGGTACCAGGACCATTGGGATGGATGGAGAGGGGTGGGGATGGGTTGGTTATGGGGTGGTTTGGGGGGGTTATGGGGGGGTTTGGGGGTACCAGGACCATTGGGATGCATGGGGATGGATGGGTTGGGGGGCGCTGGGTTGGTTATGGGGCGGTTTGGGGGTACCAGGACCATTGGGATGGATGGAGAGGGGTGGGGATGGGTTGGTTATGGGGGCAGTTTGGGGTTACCGGGACCATTGGGATGGATGGGGATGGATGGGTTGGGGGGCACTGGGTTGGTTATGGGGCGGTTTGGGGGTACCAGGACCATTGGGATGCATGGGGATGGATGGGTTGGGGGGCACTGGGTTGGTTATGGGGTGGTTTGGGGGTACCAGGACCATGGGGATGCATGGGGATGGATGGGTTGGGGGGCACTGGGTTGGTTATGGGGTGGTTTGGGGGTACCAGGACCATGGGGATGCATGGGGATGGATGGGTTGGGGGGCACTGGGTTGGTTATGGGGTGGTTTGGGGGTACCAGGACCATGGGGATGCATGGGGATGGATGGGTTGGGGGGCACTGGGTTGGTTATGGGGTGGTTTTGCGGGGGTTATGGGGCGGTTTGGGGGTACCAGGACCATTGGGATGCATGGGGATGGATGGGTTGGGGGGCACTGGGTTGGTTATGGGGGGGTTTGGGCGTACCAGGACCATTGGGATGAATGGGGATGGATGGGTTGGGGGGCACTGGGTTGGTTGTGGGGCGGTTTGGGGGTACCGGGACCATTGGGATGGATGGGGATGGATGGGTTGGGGGGCACTGGGGGGGTTATGGGGCGGTTTGGGGGTACCAGGACCATTGGGATGGATGGAGAGGGGTGGGGATGGGTTGGTTATGGGGCAGTTTGGGGGGGTTATGGGGGGGTTTGGGGGTACCAGGACCATTGGGATGAATGGGGATGGATGGGTTGGGGGGCACTGGGTTGGTTGTGGGGCGGTTTGGGGGTACCGGGACCATTGGGATGGATGGGGATGGATGGGTTGGGGGGCACTGGGGGGGTTATGGGGCGGTTTGGGGGTACCAGAACCATTGGGATGCATGGGGAGGGGTGGGTTGGGGAGCACTGGGTTGGTTATGGGGCAGTTTGGGGGTACCGGGACCAGATGGATGGGGATGGATGGGTTGGGGGGCGCTGGGTTGGTTATGGGGCGGTTTGGGGGTACCAGGACCATGGGGATGCATGGGGAGGGATGGGTTGGGGGGCGCTGGGTTGGTTATGGGGTGGTTTTGCGGGGGTTATGGGGGGTTTGGGGGTACCAGGACCATGGGGATGGATGAGGAGGGGTGGGGATGGGTTGGTTATGGGGCAGTTTGGGGGGGTTATGGGGGGGTTTGGGGGTACCAGGACCATTGGGATGAATGGGGATGGATGGGTTGGGGGGCACTGGGTTGGTTGTGGGGCAGTTTGGGGGTACCGGGACCATGGGGATGGATGGGGATGGATGGGTTGGGGGGCACTGGGGGGGTTATGGGGCGGTTTGGGGGTACCAGGGGCCCTGATGGATGGGTTGGGGGGCGCTGGGTTGGTTATGGGGCGGGTTGGGGGTACCGGGACCATTGGGATGGATGGGGAGGGATGGGTTGGGGGGCACTGGGTTGGTTATGGGGCGGTTTGGGGGTACCAGGGGCCCTGATGGATGGGTTGGGGGGCGCTGGGTTGGTTATGGGGCGCGCCGGGGCCCGCCGTGGGGCCGGTGCCCCACCTTGGCCATCTTGCTCTTGCTGTCGGCCGTCAGGAAGGACATGTTGTTGATCTCGTTCTGCACCACGAAGTTCTGCTCCTCGCGCTTGAAGTTCTGTGGGGCAGGGACCCTGACGGGGACGTGTGGGGCAGAGCCCCACAGCTCCCCCCACATCCACCTCCGTGTGTCCCCCCCCCCCTTTGCCCCCCATTGGCTCCCCCCGGCCCCACTCACGTGGGACTTGGACCAGTAGATGAAGACCTCGCCCACCATGCGGAAGAGCTCCTCCGCGTCGGCGTTGGGCTCCGTCAGCCACTGGGCCCTGCCGGGGGGCAGCAACAGCAGTGGGTCCCCATGGACACCAACAGTGGGTCCCCAGCATCAGTGGGTCCCCATGGACACCAACAGTGGGTCCCCATGGACACCAGCAGTGGGTCCCCAGCATCAGTGGGTCCCCATGGACACCATCAGTGGGTCCCCATGGACATCATCGTCATTGGGTCCCCATCATCATTGGGTCCCCATCATCATTGGGTCCCCATCATCAGTGGGTCCCTACCATCAGTGGGTCCCCATGGACACCAGCAGTGGGTCCCCAGCATCAGTGGGTCCCCATGGACATCATCGTCATTGGGTCCCCATCATCATTGGGTCCCCATCATCAGTGGGTCCCTACCATCAGTGGGTCCCCAGCATCAGTGGGTCCCCATGGACATCATCGTCATTGGGTCCCCATCATCATCGGGTCCCCATCATCAGTGGGTCCGCATGGCCATCACCACCCCCATTGGCTCCCCATGGCCACCACCACCACCATTGCCTCCCCATGGCCACCACCCTCCCCATTGTCTCCCCATGGCCACCACCCCCATTGGGTCCCCATCACCATTGGCTCCCCATGGACATCATCGTCATTGGGTCCCCATCATCATTGGGTCCCCATGGCCACCACCACCATTGGCTCCCATGGCCAACATCACCATTGAGTCGCCATCATCATTGGGTCCCCATCATCATTGGGTCCCCATGGCCACCACCACCCCCATTGCCTCCCCATGGCCACCACCACCCCCACTGGCTCCCCATGGCCATCATTGTCATTGGGACCCCATCATCATTGGGTCCCCACCACCATTGCCTCCCCATGGCCACCACCACCATTGGCTCCCATGGCCAACACCACCATTGAGTCGCCATCATCATTGGGTCCCCATCATCAGTGGGTCCCCACCACCATTGCCTCCCCATGGCCACCACCACCATTGGCTCCCATGGCCAACACCACCACTGAGTCGCCATCATCATTGGGTCCCCATCATCATTGCCTCCCCATGGCCACCACCACCCCCATTGGCTCCCCATGGCCACCACCCTCCCCATTGTCTCCCCATGGCCACCACCCCCATTGGCTCCCCATGGCCACCACCACCATTGGCTCCCATGGCCAACACCACCATTGAGTCGCCATCATCATTGGGTCCCCATCATCATTGGCTCCCCATGGACATCACCACCACCATTGGCTCCCCATGGCCACCACCACCCCCATTGCCTCCCATGGCCACCACCACCATTGGCTCCCATGGCCAACACCACCATTGAGTCGCCATCATCATTGGGTCCCCATCATCATTGGGTCCCCATCATCATTGCCTCCCCATGACCACCCCCCCATTGGCTCCCCCCGGCGCTCGGGCCTCGGCCCTCACCGGCTGTTGTCCACGTAGCGGATGAGCAGCGGGTAGAGCGCGTAGAGGTCCCGGCAGAGGACGGCGAACTCGTCGCGGATGAGCAGCTCGGCCTCCTCGCCCTCGCCCTTGGCCTCCATGCGGAGCTGCTCCTCCTCGGCCACCACCTTCCCCGCCCTCTTCTTCAGCTTCTCCATGGTGGGGATGAAGTGGGAGCGCAGCAGCTCCGGCTTCGCCTTGCTCACGATTGGCTGCGCGAACACTGCGGGGCGGGGACGGCGGCGACATCGACCAATGGCCCACGGCGCCGTCCATAACACAGCATCGACCCATGGCCGATGATGCCATTGACCAATGGCCGACGGTGCCATCCATAACACAGCATCGACCCATGGCCAATGGCGACATCGACCAATGGCCGACGGCGCCATCCATAACACAGCATCGACCCATGGCCATGAACAGCACCAACCCATGGCCAACGGCGCCATTGACCAATGGCCAACGGCACCATCGACCAATGGCCAACGGCATCATTCATAACACACCATCGACCCATGGCCAATGGCATCATCAATTCATGGCCAACGGCGCCATCGACCAATGGCCAACGGCATCATTCATAACACAGCATCGACCCATGGCCAACGGCACCATCAACCAATGGCCAACGGCGCCATCAACCAATGGCCAACGGCATCATCCATAACCCAGCATCGACCCATGGCCAACGGCACCATCTCTAGAACCTCTTAGGTCAACCACCATCACCCCAACACCCATTAAGGTCAACCACCATCAACCCAACACCCATTAAGGTCAACCACCATCACCCCAACACCCATTAAGGTCAACCACCATCACCCCAACACCCTTTGAGGTCAACCACCATCACCCCAACACCCTTTGAGGTCAACCACCATAACCCCAACACCCATTAAGGTCAACCACCATCAACCCAACACCCATTAAGGTCAACCACCATCACCCCAACACCCATTAATGTCAACCACCATCACCCCAACACCCTTTGAGGTCAACCACCATCAACCCAACACCCATTAAGGTCAACCACGATTAACCCAACACCCATTAAGGTCAACCACCATCAACCCAACACCCATTAAGGTCAACCACCATCAACCCAACACCCATTAAGGTCAACCACCACCACCCCAACACCCATTAAGGTCAACCACGATTAACCCAACACCCATTAATGTCAACCACCATCACCCCAACACCCATTAAGGTCAACCACCACCACCCCAACACCCATTAAGGTCAACCACCATCACCCCAACACCCTTTGAGGTCAACCACCATCACCCCAACACCCATTAAGGTCAACCACGATTAACCCAACACCCATTAAGGTCAACCACCATCAACCCAACACCCATTAAGGTCAACCACCACCACCCCAACACCCATTAAGGTCAACCACAATTAACCCAACACCCATTAGGGTCAACCACCATCAACCCAACACCCATTAAGGTCAACCACCATCACCCCAACACCCATTAAGGTCAACCACCATCACCCCAACACCCATTAAGGTCAACCACGATTAACCCAACACCCATTAAGGTCAACCACCATCACCCCAACACCCATTAAGGTCAACCACCACCACCCCAACACCCTTTGAGGTCAACCACCATCAACCCAACACCCATTAAGGTCAACCACCATCAACCCAACACCCTTTGAGGTCAACCACCATCACCCCAACACGCATTAAGGTCAACCACCATCAACCCAACACCCTTTGAGGTCAACCACCATCACCCCAACACGCATTAAGGTCAACCACCATCAACCCAACACCCTTTGAGGTCAACCACCATCACCCACCACCCATTAAGGTCAGCCACCATCACCCCAACACCCATTAAGGTCAACCACCACCACCCCAACACCCATTAATGTCAACCACCATCACCCCAACACCCATTAATGTCAACCACCATCACCCCAACACCCTTTGAGGTCAACCACCATCAACCCAACACCCATTAAGGTCAACCACGATTAACCCAACACCCATTAAGGTCAACCACCATCAACCCAACACCCATTAAGGTCAACCACCATCAACCCAACACCCATTAAGGTCAACCACCACCACCCCAACACCCATTAAGGTCAACCACGATTAACCCAACACCCATTAATGTCAACCACCATCACCCCAACACCCATTAAGGTCAACCACCACCACCCCAACACCCATTAAGGTCAACCACCATCACCCCAACACCCTTTGAGGTCAACCACCATCACCCCAACACCCATTAAGGTCAACCACGATTAACCCAACACCCATTAATGTCAACCACCATATAAGGTCAACCACCACCACCCCAACACCCATTAAGGTCAACCACAATTAACCCAACACCCATTAGGGTCAACCACCATCAACCCAACACCCATTAAGGTCAACCACCATCACCCCAACACCCATTAAGGTCAACCACCATCACCCCAACACCCATTAAGGTCAACCACGATTAACCCAACACCCATTAAGGTCAACCACCATCACCCCAACACCCATTAAGGTCAACCACCACCACCCCAACACCCTTTGAGGTCAACCACCATCAACCCAACACCCATTAAGGTCAACCACCATCAACCCAACACCCTTTGAGGTCAACCACCATCACCCCAACACGCATTAAGGTCAACCACCATCAACCCAACACCCTTTGAGGTCAACCACCATCACCCCAACACGCATTAAGGTCAACCACCATCAACCCAACACCCTTTGAGGTCAACCACCATCACCCACCACCCATTAAGGTCAGCCACCATCACCCCAACACCCATTAAGGTCAACCACCATCACCCCAACACCCATTAAGGTCAACCACCATCAACCCAACACCCATTAATGTCAACCACCACCACCCCAAGACGCACTTAGGGTCCCCAGCCCCATCGAAGCCGACCCCCAGCACTCCGCCCCCCATCCCTCACCCGCCAGCCTCTTCATCCAGGCGGCCTCGTCGATGCCCAGGTTGTTGACCACGATGCGCAGGATGTTGCCCAGGAGGGTGTTGAGGTGGGCGCTGGTGACGGCCGTGGGGCAGGGCCCTTGGGGCCGCGCCTCGGCGCCGCGCTCCCACCAGCGGGGCAGGTAACTGCAGAGCATGGGCAGCGTCACCTCGATGATGTGGGGCATCTCCGTGTAGCGCGCCCCCGACTCGGCCAGCGCCCCGATGGCGCCCATGAGCTCCTCGAGGGACGGAACGTCCGGGCATAGGTCCTGAACCCGGCTCGGCAGGCCCAGCACTGCAATGGGGCAGGGAGGGGGGCACGGTGAGAGGGGGGGAGCACAGTGGGGTAGGGGGAAGCCAATGGGGAAGGGGGAAGCCAATGGGGAAAGGGGGAACTCAATGGGGAAGGGGGAACTCAATGGGGAAAGGGGTTCTCAACGATGAAGGGGGAAGCCAATGGGGAAGGGGGGAAGCCAATGGGGAAAGGGGGGAAGCCAATGGGGAAAGGGGGAACTCAATGGGAAGGGGGAACTCAATGGGAAAGGGGTTCTCAACGATGAAGGGGGAAGCCAATGGGGAAGGGGGGAAGCCAATGGGGAAGGGGGAAGCCAATGGGGAAAGGGGGAAGCCAATGGGAAGGGGGAACTCAACGATGAAGGGGGAAGCCAATGGGGAGGGGGGAAGCCAATGGGGAAAGAGGGGAAGCCAATGGGAAGGGGGAAGCCAATGGGAAGGGGGAAGCCAATGGGAAGGGGGAACTCAATGGGGAAAGGGGAACTCAACGATGAAGGGGGAACCCAATGGGGAAGGGGGAAGCCAATGGGGAAGGGGGAGCCCAATGGGAAGGGGGGAAGCCAATGGGAAGGGGGAAGCCAATGGGGAAGGGGGAGCCCAATGGGGAAGGGGAAGCCAATGGGGAAGGGGGAAGCCAATAGGAAGGGGGAAGCCAATGGGGAAGGGGGAACTCAACGATGAAGGGGGAAGCCAATGGGGAAGGGGGAAGCCAATGGGGAAGGGGGAAGCCAATGATGAAGCGAGCACCCAATGGTGATGGGGGGTACCCAATGATGAAGGGGCAGCCGCTGGGGATGGATGTGGGGCAGCCGCAGGGACAGATGTGGGGCAGGCATGGGGATGGATGTGGGGCAGGTGTGGGGCAGGTGCTGTGGGGCAGGAGTGGGGCAGGTGTGGGGCAGGTGTAGGGCAGGTGTGGGGCAGGTGCTGTGGGGCAGGCATGGGATGGATGTGGGGCAGGTGTGGGGCAGGCGCTGTGGGGCAGGCGTGGGGATGGATGTGGGGCAGGCATGGGGATGGATGTGGGGCAGGAGTGGGGCAGGTGTGGGGCAGGTGTGGGGCAGGCGCTGTTGGGCAGCCATGGGGATGGATGTGGGGGAGCCATGGGGATGGATGTGGGTCAGGTGTGGGTCAGGTGTGGGGCAGGAGTGGGGCAGGTGTGGGGCAGGTGTGGGGCAGGTGTGGGTCAGGTGTGGGGCAGGTGTGGGTCAGGTGTGGGTCAGGTGTGGGGCAGGCGCTGTGGGTCAGGTGTGGGGCAGGTGTGGGGCAGGTGTGGGGCAGGTGTGGGTCAGGTGTGGGTCAGGTGTGGGGCAGGAGTGGGCCAGGTGTGGGTCAGGTGTGGGTCAGGTGTGGGTCAGGTGTGGGGCAGGTGTGGGGCAGGTGTGGGTCAGGTGTGGGGCAGGTGTGGGTCAGGTGTGGGTCAGGTGTGGGTCAGGTGTGGGGCAGGTGTGGGGCAGGTGTGGGGCAGGCACTGTTGGGCAGCCATGGGGATGGATGTGGGGGAGCCATGGGGATGGATGTGGGTCAGGTGTGGGTCAGGTGGTGGGTCAGGTGTGGGTCAGGTGTGGGTCAGGTGTGGGGCAGGTGTGGGGCAGGTGTGGGTCAGGTGTGGGTCAGGTGTGGGGCAGGTGTGGGTCAGGTGTGGGGCAGGTGTGGGGCAGGTGTGGGGATGGATGTGGGTCAGGTGTGGGGCAGGTGTGGGGCAGGTGTGGGTCAGGTGTGGGGCAGGTGTGGGGCAGGCGCTGTGGGGCAGGAGTGGGTCAGGTGTGGGTCAGGTGTGGGTCAGGTGTGGGGCAGGCGCTGTGGGGCAGGAGTGGGTCAGGTGTGGGGCAGGTGTGGGTCAGGTGTGGGGCAGGCGCTGACCGGCAGTGCTCGCGGGCGGACTTGGTGCTGTGGGGCAGGCATGGGGATGGATGTGGGGGAGCCATGGGGATGGATGTGGGTCAGGTGTGGGTCAGGTGTGGGTCAGGTGTGGGTCAGGTGTGGGGCAGGCGCTGTTGGGCAGCCATGGGGATGGATGTGGGGGAGCCATGGGGATGGATGTGGGTCAGGTGTGGGGCAGGCGCTGTGGGGCAGGTGTGGGTCAGGTGTGGGGCAGGCGCTGTTGGGCAGCCATGGGGATGGATGTGGGGGAGCCATGGGGATGGATGTGGGTCAGGTGTGGGGCAGGCGCTGTGGGGCAGGTGTGGGTCAGGTGTGGGTCAGGTGTGGGTCAGGTGTGGGTCAGGTGTGGGTCAGGTGTGGGTCAGGTGTGGGGCAGGTGTGGGTCAGGTGTGGGGCAGGTGTGGGTCAGGTGTGGGGCAGGTGTGGGTCAGGTGTGGGTCAGGTGTGGGTCAGGTGTGGGGCAGGTGTGGGGCAGGTGTGGGTCAGGTGTGGGTCAGGTGTGGGGCAGGTGTGGGGCAGGTGTGGGTCAGGTGTGGGTCAGGTGTGGGGCAGGTGTGGGGCAGGTGTGGGGCAGGTGTGGGGCAGGTGTGGGTCAGGTGTGGGTCAGGTGTGGGGCAGGTGTGGGGCAGGTGTGGGTCAGGTGTGGGGCAGGTGTGGGGCAGGTGTGGGGCAGGTGTGGGTCAGGTGTGGGGCAGGTGTGGGTCAGGTGTGGGGCAGGTGTGGGGCAGGTGTGGGGCAGGTGTGGGGCAGGTGTGGGTCAGGTGTGGGTCAGGTGTGGGTCAGGTGTGGGTCAGGTGTGGGGCAGGTGTGGGTCAGGTGTGGGGCAGGTGTGGGGCAGGTGTGGGGCAGGTGTGGGTCAGGTGTGGGGCAGGTGTGGGGCAGGTGTGGGGCAGGTGTGGGGCAGGTGTGGGGCAGGTGTGGGGCAGGTGTGGGTCAGGTGTGGGTCAGGTGTGGGGCAGGTGTGGGGCAGGTGTGGGTCAGGTGTGGGGCAGGTGTGGGGCAGGTGTGGGGCAGGTGTGGGTCAGGTGTGGGTCAGGTGTGGGTCAGGTGTGGGGCAGGTGTGGGGCAGGTGTGGGTCAGGTGTGGGTCAGGTGTGGGGCAGGTGTGGGGCAGGTGCTGACCGGCGCGCTCGCGGGCGGACTTGGTGCTGTAGACGGAGCAGGGGTTGAGGTGGTTGAGGTGGGGCTCCAGGAAGGCCACGGGCATGGCGGCCGCCAGCCGAGCCAGGCACTCCCCCAGCGCCGGCCGCTGCCTGCGGGACCCACGGGGCTCAGACCCACAGCGCCCCACGGCAACGGGGCTCCGGGGCACACATGGAACACATAGAGACACATAGAGACACATAGAGACACATAGGGACACATAGGGACACATAGAGACACATAGGGACACATAGAGACACATAGGGACACATAGAGACACATAGAGACACATAGAGACACATAGAGACACATAGAGACCCATAGAGACACATAGAGACACATAGGGACACATAGAGACACATAGAGACACATAGGAGACACATAGAGACACATAGGGACACATAGAGACACATAGAGACACATAGAGACACATAGAGACACATAGGGACACATAGAGACACATAGAGACACATAGAGACACATAGAGACACATAGAGACACATAGGGACACATAGAGACACATAGAGACACATAGAGACACATAGGGACACATAGAGACACATAGAGACACATAGAGACACATAGAGACACATAGAGACCCATAGAGACACATAGGGACACATAGAGACACATAGAGACACATAGGGACACATAGAGACACATAGAGACACATAGGGACACATAGAGACACATAGAGACACATAGGGACACATAGGGACACATAGAGACACATAGGGACACATAGAGACACATAGAGACACATAGAGACACATAGAGACACATAGAGACCCATAGGGACACATAGGGACACATAGGGACACATAGAGACACATAGGGACACATAGAGACACATAGGGACACATAGAGACACATAGGGACACATAGAGACACATAGGGACACATAGAGACACATAGAGACACATAGAGACACATAGAGACACATAGGGACCCATAGCGACACATAGAGACACATAGGGACCCATAGAGACCCATAGAGCCCCATAGAGCCCATAGAGACCCATAGAGTCCATAGAGAACATAGAGCCCATAGAACCCATAGCACCCATAGAACCCATAGTGCGCATAGAGCCCCATAGAGAACATAGAGACCATAGATTCCATAGAGCCCATAGTGCCCATAGCACCCATAGCACCCACAGTGCCCATAGAACCCATAGCACCCATAGCACCCATAGTGCCCATAGCAACCATAGTGCCCATAGAGGCCATAGAACCCATAGCACCCATAGTGCCCATAGAACCCATAGCACCCATAGCACCCATAGCGCCCATAGCACCCATAGTGCCCATAGAGGCCATAGAACCCATAGCACCCATAGCCCCCATAGCGCCCATAGCACCCATAGTGCCCATAGAGCCCATAGAACCCATAGCACCCATAGCACCCATAGCACCCATAGCACCCACAGTGCCCATAGAACCCATAGCACCCATAGCACCCATAGCGCCCATAGCACCCATAGTGCCCATAGAGCCCATGGAACCCATAGCACCCATAGCACCCATAGTGCCCATAGAACCCATAGCACCCGTAGCACCTATAGCACCCATAGCATCCATAGCACCCATAGCACCCATAGCGACCATGGCACCCATAGAACCCATAGCACCCATAGCACCCATAGCATCCATAGCACCCATAGCACCCATAGAACCCATAGCATCCATAGCATCCATAGCGACCATGGCACCCATAGCACCCATAGCATCCATAGAACCCATAGCACCCATAGCACCCATAGCATCCATAGCACCCATAGCACCCATAGCATCCATAGCACCCCTAGCACCCATAGTGCCCATAGCACCCATAGCACCCATAGAACCCATAGCATCCATAGCACCCATAGCGACCATGGCACCCATAGCACCCATAGCATCCATAGAACCATAGCACCCATAGCATCCATAGCACCCATAGCACCCATAGCACCCCTAGCACCCATAGTGCCCATAGCACCCATAGCACCCATAGAACCCATGGCATCCATAGCACCCATAGCAACCATGGCACCCATAGAACCCATAGCACCCATAGCACCCACAGCCCCCACAACTCCCATATCCCCCACACCCCCCACAGCCCCACAGCCCCCATAGCCCCCACAGCCCCACACCCCCCCCAGCCCCATAGCGCAGCCCCATAGATGGGAGGTCACCTCTCCATGTAGGGGTTCTTGGTGGTACCCAGGGAGTAGATGCTGCTGAGGATGCGGTAGCAGGAGACCTGGACGTCATCCACTGTGGGGCAGGGGCACCCGCCACGTTAGGGGGCAGGAACGGCCCCTGCGAGCCCCATAGCCCCTATACCCCATAGCCCCATAGCCCCTATACCCCATAGCCCCATAGCCCCTATACCCCATAGCCCCTATACCCCATAGCCCCTATACCCCATAGCCCCATAGCCCCTATACCCCATAGCCCCATAGCCCCTATACCCCATAGCCCCTATACCCCATAGCCCCTATACCCCATAGCCCCTATACCCCATAGCCCCATAGCCCTATACCCCATAGCCCCTATACCCCATAGCCCCTATACCCCATAGCCCATACATCCCATAGCCCATAGCCCTATACCCCATCCACCCCATACACCCCATATCCCCCCCCAGACCCCATCCACCTCACACCACCCCATATCCCCCCACAACCCCCCACCCCATCCACCCCCCCACCCCATATCCCCCCCATATCCCCCCCAACCCCCCCATACCCCCCCGACCCCCACCCCATATCCCCCTCATATCCCCCCCACACCCCACCCCCTCCATAACCCCCCCACCCCCCCACCCCATATCCCCCACAGAGCTCCCCGCACCCCACATCCCCCCCACCCCCCACACCATATCCCCCCCACACCCCACATCCCCCATACCCCCCCCACCCCCCACCCCCACCCCACCCCCCACCCCATATCCCCCACAGAGCTCCCCGCACCCCACATCCCCCCCACCCCATATCCCCCCCATATCCCCCCCACTTCCCACCCCATATCCCCTCCCCCATCCACCCCCCACCCCATATCCCCCCATATCCCCCCACCCCCCCACCCCCACCCCATATCCCCCCCATATCCCCCACCACCCCCCCACCCCCCCATACCCCCCCACCCCCTACCCCATATCCCCTCCCCCATATCCCTCCCCACCCCCACCCCACCCCCCCACCCCATATCCCCCACAGAGCTCCCCGCACCCCACATCCCCCCCACCCCCCACCCCATACCCCCCCCACTTCCCACCCCATATCCCCTCCCCCCATCCACCCCCCACCCCCACCCCATATCCCCCCCAGAGCTCCCAGCACCCCACATCCCCCCACCCCATATCCCCCCCATACCCCCCCCACTTCCCACCCCATATCCCTCCCCACCCCTACCCCACCCCCCACCCCATATCCCCCCCAGAGCTCCCAGCACCCCACATCCCCCCCACCCCATATCCCCCCCATATCCCCCCAACCCCCCCATACCCCCCCAACCCCCCCATACCCCCCCGACCCCCACCCCATATCCCCTCCCCCCATATCCCTCCCCACCCCTACCCCACCCCCCACCCCATATCCCCCGCAGAGCTCCCCGCACCCCACATCCCCCCCACCCCCCACACCATATCCCCCCCACACCCCACATCCCCCATATCCCCCCCATATCCCTCCCCACCCCTACCCCACCCCCCACCCCATATCCCCCACAGAGCTCCCCGCACCCCACATCCCCCCCACCCCCCACCCCACATCCCCCCCATATCCCCCCCACACCCCACCCCCCCCACTCCCCGCCCCCCACCCCATATCCCCCCATATCTCCCCACCCCCCCCCCCCATATCCCCCCCATACCCAATCCCCCCCATACCCCCCACCCCCCACCCCATATCCCCTCCCCCCCCCCCACCCCTCCCCCCATGTCTCACGGATGACGTCATCCCCCGCCCTCAGCTGCCCCAGGTGCTGCCATAGGGAGCTGAGCAGGGGCAGGAGCGCGGCCGTGGCGTAGCTCAGCTTCTGCCCCACACCCTTGGGGCCGCGCCGCCCCCCCGGCACCTGCCCCAGCCGCAGGCTCTCCCCCAGCTTCTCCAGGTCCTCGGCAGCGCCCTCGAAGAACGAGCGCAGCCCGGCCTTGACGATCTCCGGGCCCGACTTCATCACGGTCCTGTGGGGCAGCAATGGGGCAGATGTGGGGGGATGTGGGGCAGCAATGGGGCGGATGTGGGGCAGCAATGGGGAGCAATGGGGAGCAATGGGATGGCCATGGGGAACGAGCGCAGCCCGGCCTTGACGATCTCCGGGCCCGACTTCATCACGGTCCTGTGGGGCAGATGTGGGGCAGATGTGGGGCGGATGTGGGGCAGCAATGGGGAGCAATGGGAGCAATGGGGAGCAATGGGGAGCAATGGGGATGGCCATGGGGAACGAGCGCAGCCCGGCCTTGACGATCTCCGGGCCCGACTTCATCACGGGTCCTGTGGGGCAGCAATGGGGCGGATGTGGGGCAGCAATGGGGAGCAATGGGGAGCAATGGGGAGCAATGGGGAGCAATGGGGAACGAGCGCAGCCCGGCCTTGACGATCTCCGGGCCCGACTTCATCACGGTCCTGTGGGGCAGCAATGGGGCAGATGTGGGGCGGATGTGGGGCAGCAATGGGGCGGATGTGGGGCAGCAATGGGGAGCAATGGGGATGGCCATGGGGAACGATCGCAGCCCGGCCTTGACGATCTCCGGGCCCGACTTCATCACGGTCCTGTGGGGCAGCAATGGGGCAGCAATGGGGCGGATGTGGGGCAGCAATGGGGAGCAATGGGGATGGCCATGGGAACGAGCGCAGCCCGGCCTTGACGATCTCCGGGCCCGACTTCATCACGGTCCTGTGGGGCAGCAATGGGGCAGCAATGGGGCGGATGTGGGGCAGCAATGGGGAGCAATGGGGAGCAATGGGGCAGCAATGGGGAACGAGCGCAGCCCGGCCTTGACGATCTCCAGGCCCGACTTCATCACGGTCCTGTGGGGCGGATGTGGGGCAGCAATGGGGATGGACAGCAATGGGGATGGACAGCAATGGGGATGGACAGCAATGGGGCAGCAGTGGGGCAGCTGTGGGGCAGCAATGGGGATGGACATGGGGAACGAGCACATCAATGGGACGTCAATGGGATGTCAGTGGGACATCAGTGGGGCAGCAATGGGACATCAGTGGGGCAGCAATGAGACATCAATGGGGATGGACAGCAATGGGGACATGGAGACATGGGGCAGCCATAGGGACATAGGGACCAACATAGGGACATGGGGCAGCTGTGGGGCAGGCAAGGGGCAGCTGTGGAGCCGGGGGGCAGCCATGGGGCAGCTGTGGGGCCATGGGGCAGCCGTGGAGCAGCCGTGGGGCAGCCGTGGGGCCATGGGGCAGCCGTGGAGCAGCCGTGGGGCAGCCGTGGGGCAGCCATGGGGCAGCCGTGGCGCCGTGGGGCAGCCATGGGGCAGCCGTGGGCAGCCATGGGGCAGCCATGGGGCAGGCATGGGGCCATGGGCAGGCGTGGGGCAGGCGTGGGGCAGGCATGGGGCAGCCATGGGGCAGCCGTGGGGCAGCCATGGGGCAGCCATGGGGCAGGCATGGGGCCATGGGGCAGCCGTGGGGCAGGCGTGGGGCAGCCATGGGGCAGCCCTGGGGCAGCCATGGGGCAGCTGTGGGGCAGGCGTGGGGCAGCCATGGGGCAGCCATGGGGCAGCTGTGGGGCAGCCATGGGGCAGGCATGGAGCAGCCGTGGGGCAGCCATGGGGCAGCCATGGGGCCGTGGGGCAGCCATGGGGCAGCTGTGGGGCAGGCGTGGGGCAGCCATGGGGCAGCCCTGGGGCAGCCATGGGGCAGCCATGGGGCAGCTGTGGGGCAGCCATGGGGCAGGCATGGAGCAGCCGTGGGGCAGCCATGGGGCAGCCATGGGGCCGTGGGGCAGCCATGGGGCAGCTGTGGGGCAGGCATGGGGGCCATGGGGCAGCCGTGGGGCAGGCGTGGGGCAGGCGTGGGGCAGCCATGGGGCAGCCGTGGGGCAGCCATGGGGCAGGCGTGGGGCAGCCATGGGGCAGGCGTGGGGGCAGGCATGGGGCAGGCATGGGGCAGGCATGGGGCAGGCGTGGGGCAGCCATGGGGCAGGCATGGGGCAGGCATGGGGCAGCCGTGGGGCAGCCGTGGGGCCGGACCTGGCATCCAGGGAGCGCGCCAGGATGTGCAGGCAGTTCACCACGGCCGGAGCGTCCGTCCCTGTGGGCAGGCACCGTGAGCCAGCGACCCATAGAGACCCATAGCGAGCCACAGTGACCCATAGCCACCCACAGAGACCCATAGTGACCCATAGCGACCCATAGCGACCCATAGCGACCCCATAGTGACCCATAGTGCCCATAGCGACCCATAGTGACCCATAGTGACCCATAGCGACCCATAGTGACCCATAGCGACCCATAGCGACCCATAGTGACCCATAGCGACCCATAGCGACCCATAGTGACCCATAGCGACCCATAGCGACCCATAGTGACCCATAGCGACCCATAGCGACCCATAGCCACCCACAGAGACCCATAGTGACCCATAGCGACCCATAGCGACCCATAGTGACCCATAGCGACCCATAGCGACCCATAGCGACCCATAGCCACCCATAGCCACCCACAGAGACCCATAGTGACCCATAGCGACCAATAGCGACCTATAGTGACCCATAGCGACCCATAGCCACCCATAGTGACCCATAGCGACCCATAGCCACCCATAGCAACCCATAGCGACCCATAGCCACCCACAGAGACCCATAGTGACCCATAGCGACCCACAGAGACCCATAGCAGCCCATAGCCACCCATAGCGACCCATAGGGACCCATAGCGCCCCATAGCACCCCATAGCCACCCATAGGGACCCATAGTGACCCACAGCGACCCATAGGGACCATAGGGACCCATAGCGACCCATAGCGACCCATAGCGACCCACAGAGACCATAGCGACCCACAGGGACCCACAGGGACCCATAGGGACCCATAGGGACACATAGGGACCATAGGGACCCATAGGGAACAACAGGGACCCCATAGAGAAACCATAGGGAGCTCATAGGGACCCATAGAGACCCTCAACACCCCCATCGAGACCCCATAGAGACCCCATAGATACCCCATAGACACCCCCAAAACCCCATAGAGACCCCATAGAAATCCCATGGAGACCCCCATAGAGACCCCCAACACCCCCATAGAGACCCATAGAAAGCCATAGAGACCCATGAAGACCCCATAGAGACCTATAGAGACACCATAGAGCCCATAGAGACCCATAGGACCCATAGAGCCCCATAGAGACCCATAGAGCCCCATAGAGACCCCATACAGACCCCATAGAGACCCATAGAGACCCCATAGAGACCCCATAGAGCCCCATACAGACCCCATAGAGACCCCATAGGGACCCATAGAGACCCATAGAGACCCCATAGAGCCCCATACAGACCCATAGAGACCCCATAGGGACCCATAGAGATCCCATAGAGACCCATAGAGACCCCATAGAGACCCCCCAGACACCCACAGAGACCCCATAGGGACCCATAGAGCCCCATAGGGACCCATAGAGATCCATAGAGATCCCATAGAGACCATAGAGACCCATAGAGACCCATAGAGACCCCCCCGCCCCATAGATGCCCCATAGAGTCCTCACCGAACAGCGAGATGCGGTGCCGGACCAGGGCCGCCAGCTTGCAGAAGAGGCTGTAAGGGGGGGACAATGACGAGGATGTGGGTCGGGGGGGGGGCTATGGGGGCTATGGGGCTATGGGGCTATGGGGGGCTATGGGGGTATGGGGCTATGGGGGTTATGGGGGCTCTGGGGGGTATGGGGGTATGGGGGGTATGGGGGTTATGGGGGGCTATGGGGGCTATGGGGACTATGGGGGCTATGGGGGTTATGGGGGTTATGGGGGGTATGGGGGTTATGGGGGGCTATGGGGGCTATGGGGACTATGGGGGCTATGGGGGTTATGGGGGGTATGGGGGTTATGGGGGGCTATGGGGGCTATGGGGGGTTATGGGGGGCTATGGGGGCTATGGCGGTTATGGAGGGCTATGGGGGCTATGGGGGCTATGGGGGGTATGGGGGCTATGGGGGTTATGGGGGCTATGGGGGCTATGGGGGCTATGGGGGGTATGGGGGTTATGGGGGCTATGGGGGTTATGGGGGGCTATGGGGGCTATGGGGGTTATGGGGGGCTATGGGGGCTATGGGGGCTATGGGGGGTATGGGGGTTATGGGGGCTATGGGGGTTATGGGGGGCTATGGGGGTATGGGGGCTATGGGGGGCTATGGGGGTATGGGGGCTATGGGGGCTATGGGGGGCTATGGGGGTATGGGGGCTATGGGGGCTATGGGGGGCTATGGGGGGCTATGGGGACTATTTGGTCTAAGGGCGCTATAGGTGCTATGGATGCTATGGGTGCTATGGATGCTATGGGTGCTATGGGGCATTATGGGGTGCTATGCATGCTATGGGGCGCTATGGATGCTATGGGGCACTATGGGGCGCTATGGATGCTATGGGGTACTATGGGTGCTATGGGGTACTATGGGGTGCTATGGGTGCTATGGGGCGCTATGGATGCTATGGGGTGCTATTGATGCTAAGGGGTGCTATGGGGCGCTATGGATGCTATGGGGTGCTATCGATGCTAAGGGGCGCTATGGGGTGCTATGGGGTGCTATGGATGCTATGGGGCACTATGGATGCTATGGATGCTATGGATGCTATGGATGCTATGGGACACTATGGATGCTATGGGGCACTATGGATGCTATGGATGCTATGGGGCACTATGGATGCTGTGGGGCACTATGGATGCTATGGGGCGCTATGGGGCGCTATGGATGCTATGGGGCACTATGGATGCTATGGGGGCACTATGGATGCTATGGGGTGCTATGGATGCTATGGATGCTATGGATGCTATGGGGCGCTATGGATGCTATGGATGCTATGGGGCACTATGGATGCTATGGATGCTATGGGGCGCTATGAATGCTATGGATGCTATGGATGCTATGGGGCGCTATGAATGCTATGGATGCTATGGATGCTATGGGGCACTATGGATGCTATGGATGCTCTGGATGCTATGGGGCGCTATGGATGCTATGGATGCTATGGATGCTATGGGGCACTATGGATGCTATGGATGCTATAGGGCACTATGAATGCTATGGATGCTATGGATGCTATGGATGCTATGGGGCGCTATGGATGCTATGGATGCTATGGATGCTATGGGGCACTATGGATGCTATGGATGCTATGGATGCTATGGGGCACTATGGATGCTATGGATGCTATGGATGCTATGGGGCACTATGGATGCTATGGATGCTATGGATGCTATGGGAGCGCTATGGATGCTATGGATGCTATGGATGCTATGGGGCACTATGGATGCTATGGATGCTATGGATGCTATGGGGCACTATGGATGCTATGGATGCTATGGATGCTATGGGGCGCTATGGGGTGCTATGGGTGCTATGGGGCGCCATGGGTCGCCGTGGGGCGCTATGGGGCGCCGTGGGTCCCACCTGGTCACCATCTCCTTCTCCTTGTTGGAGGCGTGGCCGCCGGTGCCCAGCGCCAGGGCCGGGGTGCTCAGGAAATACCCACAGTGGTTGTGGAAGTAACGGTTGATGAGGGGCAGCAGCACCTGCCACGGGGGCACCGGACCCATAGGGACCCATGGGGACCCATAGAGACCCACAGGGACCCATAGGGACCCATAGAGACCCACAGGGACCCATAGGGACCATAGGGACCCATAGAGACCCATAGGGGACCCATGGGGACCCATAGGGACCCATAGAGACCCATAGGGACCCATAGGGACACATAGAGACCCATAGAGACCCATAGGGACCCATAGGGACACATAGAGACCCACAGGGACCCATAGGGACACATAGAGACCCATAGGGACCCACAGGGACCATAGGGACCATAGGGACCCATAGAGACCCACAGGGACCCATAGGGACCCATAGGGACCATAGAGACCCAAAGGGACCCATGGGGACCCATAGGGACCCATAGGGACACATAGGGACACATAGGACACATAGAGACCCATAGGGACCCACAGGGACCCATAGAGACCCATAGGGACCCATAGGGACCCACAGGGACCATAGGGACCATAGGGACCCATAGAGACCCACAGGGACCCATAGGGACCCATAGGGACCCACAGGGACCATAGGGACCATAGGGACCCATAGGGACCCATAGAGACACATAGAGACCCACAGGGACCCATAGAGACCATAGAGACCCATAGGGACCCATAGAGACCCATAGAGACCCATAGGGACCCATAGAGACCCATAGAGACCCATAGAGACCCATAGGGACCCCGTCTGACCTTGGCGAAGAACTTGATCTCCTGCTCATGGGGGGATTTCTCCACTCGGCCACTGCTGACCACGGCCTCTGGGGGGCGACAGAGAGAACATGGGGGGGCATTGGGACCCATAGAGACCCATAGAACCCATAGTGCCCATAGCGCCCAGTAGCACCCCATAGCGCCCCATAGAACCCATAGTGCCCCACAGCGCCCCACAGCGCCCCATAGCGCCCCATAGAACCCACAGTGCCCCATAGCGCTGCACAGCTCCCCACAGTGCCCACAGTGCCCCATAGTGCCCCATAGCGCCCCACAGAGCCCCATAGAACCCATAGTGCCCCACAGCGCCCCACAGCGCCCATAGCGCCCCATAGAACCCACAGTGCCCCATAGCGCTGCACAGCTCCCCACAGTGCCCCACAGTGCCCCATAGTGCCCCATAGCGCCCCACAGAGCCCCATAGAACCCATAGTGCCCCACAGCACCCCACAGCACCCCATAGAACTCATAGCGCCACACAGCGCCCGCCAGCACCCCATAGAACCCATAGCGCCCCATAGCGCCCCACAGAGCCCCATAGAACCCATAGCGCCCCATAGCGCCCGCCAGCACCCATAGAACCCATAGCGCCCCATAGCGCCCCACAGAGCCCCATAGAACCCATAGTGCCCCACAGCACCCCACAGCACCCCATAGAACTCATAGTGCCACACAACGCCCGCCAGCACCCCATAGAACCCATAGCGCCCCATAGGCCCCCACAGAGCCCCATAGAACCCATAGCGCCCCACAGCGCCCCATAGCGCCCCATAGCGCCCCACAGCGCCCCATAGAACCCATAGTGCCCCACAGCGCCCCACAGCACCCCATAGAACTCATAGCGCCACACAGCGCCTGCCAGCACCCCATAGAACCCATAGCGCCCCACAGCACCCCACAGCACCCATAGAACTCATAGCGCCACACAGCGCCCCCCAGCACCCCATAGAACCCATAGCGCCCCATAGCGCCCCATAGCACCCCATAGAACTCATAGCGCCACACAGCGCCCCCAGCACCCCATAGAACCCATAGCGCCCCATAGCGCCCCATAGCACCCCATAGAACCCATAGCGCCCCACAGCGCCCCATAGAACCCATAGCGCCCCACAGCGCCCCATAGAACCCATAGCGCCCCACAGCGCCCCATAGCGCCCCATAGCGCCCCACAGCGCCCCATAGAACCCATAGCGCCCCATAGCGCCCCACAGCACCCCATAGAACCCATAGCGCCCCACAGCACCCCATAGCACCCATAGCGCCCCACAGCACCCCATAGAACCCATAGCGCCCCACAGCACCCCATAGCACCCCATAGCACCCCACAGCACCCCATAGAACCCACAGCGCCCCACAGCACCCCATAGAACCCCACAGCACCCCATAGAGCCCATAGCACCCCACAGCACCCCATAGAACCCACAGCGCCCCATAGCGCCCCACAGCACCCCATAGCACCCCATAGCACCCCACAGCACCCCATAGAACCCACAGCACCCCACAGCACCCCACAGCACCCCATAGAACCCATAGCGCCCCATAGTGCCCCACAGCACCCCATAGAACCCATAGCGCCCCATAGCGCCCCATAGCGCCCCACAGCGCCCGTGGGGCCGCACCCAGGTGCGCGATGAACTCCTGGGCCGTGTCCATCCAGCGCAGGAGCTGCTGCAGGAACCCGAAGCGAAACGCTTCTCGATGGACGAGGAGTCGAGCTCCATGTCCTTGAGCCCCCTGGGAGCCACGGAGAACATAGGGGAACATAGGGACCATAGGGAACATAGGGACCATAGGGAACATAGGGACCCATAGGGAACCATAGGGACACATAGAGACACATAGAGACACATAGAGACCCATAGAGACACATAGAGACACATAGGGACACATAGGGACACATAGGGACACATAGAGACACATAGGGACCCATAGAGACACATAGAGACACATAGAGACACATAGAGACACATAGAGACACATAGAGACACATAGAGACACATAGGGACACATAGAGACACATAGAGACACATAGGGACACATAGGGACACATAGAGACACATAGAGACACATAGGGACACATAGGACACATAGAGACACATAGAGACACATAGGGACACATAGAGACACATAGGGACACATAGAGACACATAGAGACACATAGGGACACATAGAGACACATAGAGACACATAGAGACACATAGGGACACATAGAAAACACATAGAGACACATAGAGACACATAGGGACACATAGAGACACATAGAGACACATAGAGACACATAGGGACACATAGGGACACATAGAGACACATAGAGACACATAGGGACACATAGAGACACATAGGGACACATAGAGACACATAGAGACACATAGAGACACATAGAGACACATAGGGACACATAGGGACACATAGGGACACATAGAGACACATAGAGACACATAGAGACACATAGGGACACATAGAGACACATAGGGACACATAGAGACACATAGAGACACATAGAGACACATAGAGGACACATAGAGACACATAGGGACACATAGGGAACATAGGGACCCATAGGGACACATAGGGACACATAGAGACACATAGGGACACATAGGGAACATAGGGACCCATAGGGACACATAGGGACACATAGGGACCATAGGGACCCATAGAGACACATAGGGACCCATAGGGAACATAGGGAACATAGGGACCCATAGGGACACATAGGGACACATAGGGACCATAGGGAGCCATAGAGACACATAGAGAGCCATAGAGACACATAGGGACACATAGAGACCCATAGAACCCATAGCACCCCACAGCGCCCCATAGAACCCATAGCGCCCCACAGCGCCCCATAGAACCCATAGCACCCCACAGCGCCCCATAGAACCCATAGCGCCCCATAGCGCCCCATAGCGCCCCATAGCACCCCACAGTGCCCCATAGAACCCATAGCACCCCACAGCGCCCCATAGAGCCCCATAGCGCCCCATAGACCCATAGCGCCGCGCTCCTCACCGGGTGACGGCGTAGCCGTGCAGCTGCAGGAACTTGAGCAGCTCCTGCGCCTTCTCCCTGTCCCGCGCCTTCTCCTGCGCCGTCAGCGTGTCGTAGGGCACGAGCAGCGGGTGCGAGCCCCCCCCTGCGACCCACGGCGCGGTGGGGCAGAGAGAGCGGCAATGGGGCAGAGAGCGGCAATGGGGCAGAGAGCGGCAATGGGGCAGGGGGGTCAATGGGGCAGAGAGCGGCAATGGGGCAGAGAGCAGCAATGGGGCAGGGGGGTCAATGGGGCAGAGAGCGGCAATGGGGCAGAGAGCAGCAATGGGGCAGGGGGGTCAATGGGGCAGAGAGCGGCAAATGGGGCAGAGAGCGGCAATGGGGCAGAGAGCGGCCAATGGGGCAGAGAGCGGCAATGGGGCAGGGGGGTCAATGGGGCAGAGAGCGGCAATGGGGCAGAGAGCGGCAATGGGGCAGAGAGCGGCAATGGGGCAGGGGGGTCAATGGGGCAGAGAGCGGCAATGGGGCAGAGAGCGGCAATGGGGCAGAGAGCGGCAGTGGGGCAGAGAGCAGCAATGGGGCAGAGAGAGCGGCAATGGGGCAGGGGGTCAATGGGGGCAGAGAGCAGCAATGGGGCAGGGGGTCAGTGGGGCAGAGAGCGGCAATGGGGCAGCAGTGGGGCAGAGAGCGGCAATGGGGCAGAGAGCGGCAAGGGGGCAGAGAGCAGCAGTGGGGCAGCAGTGGGGCAGAGAGCGGCAATGGGGCAGAGAGCGGCAATGGGGGCAGGGGGGTCAATGGGGCAGAGAGCGGCAATGGGGCAGAGAGCAGCAATGGGGCAGAGAGCAGCAATGGGGCAGGGGGGTCAATGGGGCAGAGAGCGGCAATGGGGCAGAGAGCAGCAATGGGGCAGGGGGGTCAGTGGGGCAGAGAGCGGCAATGGGGCAGGGGGATCAGTGGGGCAGAGAGCGGCAATGGGGCAGAGAGCAGCAATGGGGCAGGGGGGTCAATGGGGCAGAGAGCGGCAATGGGGCAGAGAGCAGCAATGGGGCAGGGGGGTCAATGGGGCAGAGAGCAGCAATGGGGCAGAGAGCAGCAATGGGGCAGGGGGGGTCAATGGGGCAGAGAGCGGCAATGGGGCAGAGAGCAGCAATGGGGCAGAGAGCAGCAATGGGGCAGGGGGGTCAGTGGGGCAGAGAGCGGCAATGGGGCAGAGAGCAGCAATGGGGCAGGGGGATCAGTGGGGCAGAGAGCAGCAATGGGGCAGAGAGCAGCAATGGGGCAGGGGGATCAGTGGGGCAGAGAGCAGCAATGGGGCAGAGAGCAGCAATGGGGCAGAGAGCAGCAATGGGGCAGGGGGGTCAGTGGGGCAGAGAGCAGCAATGGGGCAGAGAGCAGCAAATGGGGCAGGGGGATCAGTGGGGCAGAGAGCAGCAATGGGGCAGAGAGCAGCAATGGGGCAGGGGGATCAGTGGGGCAGAGAGCAGCAATGGGGCAGAGAGCAGCAATGGGGCAGGGGGGTCAATGGGGCAGAGAGCATCCAATGGGGCAGAGAGCATCCAGTGGGGCAGGGGGGTCAATGGGGCAGAGAGCAGCAATGGGGAAGAGAGCAGCAATGGGGCAGAGAGCATCCAGTGGGGCAGAGAGCATCAGTGGGGCAGAGAGCGGCAATGGGGCAGCAGTGGGGCAGAGAGCAGCAGTGGGGCAGAGAGCAGCAGTGGGGCAGCAGTGGGGCAGAGAGCGGCAGTGGGGCAGGGGGGATCAATGGGGCATCAGTGGGTCAGAGAGCAGCAATGGGGCAGAGAGCAGCAGTGGGGCAGAGAGCAGCAATGGGGCAGAGAGCAGCAGTGGGGCAGAGAACAGCAGTGGGGCAGAGAGCGGCAATGGGGCAGAGAGCAGCAGTGGGGCAGAGAACAGCAGTGGGGCAGAGAGCATCAATGGGGCAGAGAGCATCAGTGGGGTGCAGAGCATCAGTGGGGTGCAGAGAGCATCAGTGGGGTGCAGAGCATCAATGGGGTGCAGAGAGCATCAGTGGGGTGCAGAGCATCAATGGGGCAGAGAGCATCAGTGGGGTGCAGAGCATCAATGGGGTGCAGAGCATCAATGGGGTGCAGAGAGCATCAATGGGGTGCAGAGCATCAATGGGGCAGAGAGCATCAATGGGGTGCAGAGCATCAATGGGGTGCAGAGCATCAATGGGGCAGAGAGCATCAGTGGGGTGCAGAGCATCAATGGGGTGCAGAGCATCAGTGGGGTGCAGAGCATCAGTGGGGTGCAGAGAGCATCAGTGGGGTGCAGAGCATCAATGGGGTGCAGAGAGCATCAGTGGGGTGCAGAGCATCAATGGGGCAGAGAGCATCAGTGGGGCAGAGAGCATCAGTGGGGTGCAGAGCATCAATGGGGCAGAGCATCAGTGGGGTGCAGAGCATCAATGGGGTTGCAGAGCATCAGTGGGGTGCAGAGCATCAATGGGGTGCAGAGCATCAATGGGGTGCAGAGAGCATCAATGGGGTGCAGAGCATCAATGGGGTGCAGAGCATCAGTGGGGTGCAGAGCATCAATGGGGTGCAGAGAGCATCAATGGGGTGCAGAGCATCAATGGGGCAGAGAGCATCAATGGGGTGCAGAGCATCAGTGGGGCAGAGAGAGCATCAATGGGGTGCAGAGCATCAATGGGGCAGAGAGAGCATCAATGGGGTGCAGAGCATCAATGGGGTGCAGAGCATCAATGGGGCAGAGAGAGCATCAATGGGTGCAGAGAGCATCAATGGGGCAGAGAGAGCATCAATGGGGTGCAGAGAGCATCAGTGGGGTGCAGAGAGCATCAATGGGGCAGAGAGCATCAATGGGGTGCAGAGCACTGGGCTGGGCGAAGGGAGGAGAGGCCCCCCCGGAGCTGTGGGGCAGAGGAGCCCCCATGGGTGCTATGGGGCAGGGGGGGCTCACCCTTGGCCTCCAGCTCCAGCTTCTTCTTGCGGCCCCACGTGTTGTGGTAGTTCTCAGCCAGCTGCTCCGCCATGGCCTGGGGGGGATGGGGGTGGATATGGGGGGATATGGGGTGGGGGTGGGGGGTGGGGGGTGGGGGTGGGGGGATATGGGGGGGATATGGGGGGATATGGGGTGGGGGTGGGGGGAGTGGGGGGTGGGGGGTGTGGGGGGGATATGGGGTGGGGGTGGGGGGTGGGGGTGGGGGGGGATATGGGGGGGATATGGGGTGGGGGTGTGGGGTGGGGGGTGGGGGTGGGGGGTGGATATGGGGGGGATATGGGGTGGGGGTGGGGGTGGATATGGGGGGATATGGGGTGGGGGTGTGGGGTGGGGGGTGGGGGTGGGGGGTTGGGGGGTGGATATGGGGGGGATATGGGGTGGGGGTGGGGTGGGGGGAGGATATGGGGTGGGGGTGGGGGGTGGGCGTGGGGGGGGTATGGGGGGGATATAGGGGGGTATGGGGGGGATATGGGGTGTGGGTATGGGGTGTGGGGGGTGGGGGGATATGGGGTGAGGGTGTGGGGTGTGGGGTGTGGATATGGGGGGATATGGGGGGGATATGGGGTGGGGGTGTGGGGGGTGGGGTGGGGGAGGATATGGGGTGGGGGCGTGGGGGGTGGGGGGATATGGGGGGAATATGGGGGGCATGGGGATATGGGGGGGCTATGGGGGGGATATGGGGTGGGGGTGTGCGGGGTGGGGTGGGGATATGGGGGGATATGGGGGGGATATGGGGGGCGTGGGGGTGGGTGTGGGGTGGGGGGAGGATATGGGGGTGGGGGTGGGGGGCTTGGGGGGTGGGGGTGGGGATTATGGGGGGGATATGGGGTGGGGGTGGGGGGTGGGGAGGAATATGGGGGGGATGTGGGGTGGGGGTTGTGGGGTGGGGTGGGGGGTGTGGGGGATGTGGGGTGCTCATGGGATGTGGGGTGCTATGGGATGTGGGGTACTATGGGGTGCTATGGGATGTGGGGTGCTATGGGGTGCTATGGGATGTGGGGTATTATGGGATGTGGGGTGCTATGGGGTGCTATGGGATGTGGGGTGCTGTGGGGTATTATGGGATGTGGGGTGTTATGGGATGTGGGGTGCTATGGGGTGCTATGGGATGTGGGGTGCTATGGGATGTGGGGTGCTATGGGGTGCTATGGGGTGTGGGGTATTATGGGATGTGGAGTGCTATGGGGTGCTATGGGGTGTGGGGTATTATGGGATGTGGGGTGCTATGGGGTGCTATGGGGTCCTATGGGGTATTATGGGGTGTGGGGTATTATGGGATGTGGGGTGCTATGGGGTGCTATGGGGTGCTATGGGGTGCTATGGGATGTGGGGTGCTATGGGGTGCTATGGGGTGCTATGGGGTGCTATGGGATGTGGGGTGCTATGGGGTGCTATGGGATGTGGGGTGCTATGGGGTGCTATGGGGTGCTATGGGATGTTATGGGGTGCTATGGGGTGCTATGGGGTGCTATGGGGTGCTATGGGGTGCTATGGGATGTTATGTGGTGCTATGGGGTGCTATGGGGTGCTATGGGATGTTATGGGGTTATTATGGGCTGCGCGCTGTGGGGCTCAGGCCCTGACCTGCAGCTCCCGGGACAGGGTGACCCCCGAGAGGTCCACGGGCTGGGGGCTGTAACCGTGGCTGGGGTCGTAGGTGGCCTTGGGGGGCAGAGCAGCGGGAGGGCGCCGTGGGGCAGAGGGACCCACAGACCCCCATAGGGAGCCTATGGACCCCTATGGACCCACAGACCCCCATAGGGACCTATGGACCCCTATGGACCCACAGACCCCCATAGGGACCTATGGACCCCTATGGACCCACAGACCCCCATAGGGAGCCTATGGACCCCTATGGACCCACAGACCCCCATAGGGAGCCTATGGACCCACAGACCCCCATAGGGACCTATGGACCCCTATGGACCCACAGACCCCCATAGGGAGCCTATGGACCCCTATGGACCCACAGACCCCCATAGGGAGCCTATGGACCCACAGACCCCCATAGGGACCTATGGAACCCTATGGACCCACAGACCCCCATAGGGACCTATGGAACCCTATGGACCCACAGACCCCCATAGGGAGCCTATGGACCCACAGACCCCCATAGGGACCTATGGAACCCTATGGAGCCACAGACCCCCATAGGAGCCTATGGACCCACAGACCCCCATAGGGACCTATGGACCCCTATGGACCCACAGACCCCCATAGGGAGCCTATGGACCCCTATGGACCCACAGACCCCCATAGGGAGCCTATGGACCCACAGACCCCCATAGGGACCTATGGACCCCTATGGACCCACAGACCCCCATAGGGAGCCTATGGACCCACAGACCCCCATAGGGAGCCTATGGACCCCAATGGACCCCATGGACCCCCATGGACCCCTATAGACCCCCTGGACCCCTATAGACCCCCATAGACCCCATGGACCCCCATGGACCCCCTGGACCCCTATAGACCCCCATAGACCCCATGGACCCCCATGGACCCCCTGGACCCCTATAGACCCCCATAGACCCCATGGACCCCCATGGACCCCATGGACCCCTATAGACCCCCACAGACCCCATGGACCCCCATGGACCCCCATGGACCCCTATAGACTCCATAGACCCCATGGACCCCTAGAGACCTCTATAGACCCCTATAGACTCTATGGACCCCATGGACCCCTATAGACCCCCATGGACCTCATGGACCCCACGGACCCCATGGACCCCCTGGACCCCCATGGACCCCCATGGACCCCTATAGACCCCTATAGACTCTATGGACCCCATGGACCCCAATGGACCCCTATGGACCGCATAGACCCCCATGGACCCCCTGGACCCCATGGACCCCCTGGACCCCAAAGGACTCCATAGACCCCCATGGACCCCCATGAACCCCATGGACCCCCATGGACCCCTATAGACCCCCATAGACCGCATGGACCCCCATGGACCCCATGGACCCCTATAGACCCCCATAGCCCCATGGACCCCCATGGACCCCTATAGACTCTATGGACCACATGAACCCCATGGACCCCTACAGACCCCTATAGACCCCTATAGACTCTATGGACACCATAGACCCCATGGACCCCATGGACCCCCATGAACCCCATGGACCCCCATGAACCCCCTGGACCCCCATGGACCCCTATAGACCCCTATAGACTCTATGGACCCCATAGACCCCCTGGACCCCCATGGACCCCTATAGACCCCTATAGACTCTATGGACCCCATAGACCCCATGGACCCCATGGCCCCCATAGACCCCCATGGACCCCTATAGACCCCTATAGACTCTATGGACCCCATAGACCCCATGGACCCCATGGACCCCATGGACCCCACAGCCTGCAGACCTGGGCCGATTGGGAGATCTTTCGGGTCTTCTTCTTCTCCACTTTGTCCTCCTCCCCCTCGCGGGCCTTCTCCACCGTCCACTCCCAGGCCAGCATCGCCTGAGGGACTCCTTGATTGGCCAGCGGTAGATCTCCTTGTCCTGGGGGCGCAGGGGGGCGCAGTGGGGCTGGGGAACTCCGTGGGGGTGGATGGGGTCGGGGGAACTCAATGGGGTCGGGGGAACTCAATGGGGTTGGAGGAACTCAATGGGGTGGAGGAACTCAATGGGGTTGGATGGGGTTGGGAGAACTCAATGGGGTTGGAGGAACTCAATGGGGTTGGATGGGGTTGGAGGAACTCAATGGGGTTGGAGGAACTCAATGGGGTTGGATGGGGTTGGAGGAACTCAATGGGGTTGGAGGAACTCAAATGGGGTTGGATGGGGTTGGAGGAACTCAGTGGGGTTGGGAGAACTCAATGGGGTTGGGGGAACTCAATGGGGTTGGAGGAACTCAATGGGGTTGGGGGAACTCAATGGGGTTGGGGGAACTCAGTGGGGTTGGATGGGGTTGGAGGAACTCAATGGGGTTGGGGGAACTCAATGGGGTTGGGGGAACTCATGGGGTTGGAGGAACTCAATGGGGTTGGATGGGGTTGGAGGAACTCAATGGGGTTGGATGGGGTTGGAGGAACTCAATGGGGTTGGATGGGGTTGGATGGGGTTGGAGGAATTCAGTGCGATTGGATGGGGTTGGATGGGGTTGGAGGAACTCAATGGGGTTGGAGGAACTCAATGGGGTTGGGGGAACTCAATGGGGTTGGATGGGGTTGAAGGAACTCAATGGGGTTGGATGGGGTTAGGGGTCCCCAATGGGGTTCAGGGCATCCCAATGGGGTTGAATGGCGTTAGGGGTCCCCAATGGGGTTCAGGGGACCCCAATGGCCTCGGGGTTCTCCCCATAGGGGCTGTGGGGCCCGGAGGCCCCGGTACCTTCTCGGAGAAGGTCTTGTACGGGCGCAGCATCGGATGCGTCTGGCCTCTTCATCCACGGCCTCCCCGAAGGACCAATTGTTCTGGATCTGCCATGGGGGGGACATGTGGGGCGCTGGGACATCAGTGGGGCGCTGTGGGGCGCTGTGGGGCGCAGGGTTGGGGTCCCACCTTGTCGAAGGCCCACTTCTCATGGGTGAACTCCGCGTACTTGTTGATGAAGCCATCGAGCTTCTCGGGGATGATGACACTGGGGGAGAGAGGGGACAAGTGGGGCTGGGTTATGGGGCTGGGTTATGGGGCTGGGTTATGGGGCAGGGCTATGGGCGGCTGGGTTATGGGCTGAGCTATGGGCAGGGCTCTGGGGCAGGGCTATGGGGTTGGGCTACGGGGTTGGGCTACAGGGCTGGGCTCTGGGGCTGGGTTATGGGGCTGGGCTATGGGGAAGGGCTCTGGGGCAGGTCTATGGGGCATTTTTTTGGGCAGGGTTATAGGGCAGGGCTATGGGACTGGGCTATGGTGTTGGCTATGGGGCAGGGCTCTGGGGCTGGGTTATGGGGGCAGTGTTCTGTGGCAGGGTTATGGGGCAAATCCATGGGGCAGGGCTGTCAGTCAGGGCTATGGGGCAGGTTTATAGGGCAGGATTATGGGGCAGGGCTATGGAGCAGGGTTATACGTCAAAGTTATAGGGCAGGTCTATGGGTAAGGTCTATGGGGCTGGTCTATGGGGCATGGCTATAGGGCAGGGCTATGGGGCAGGGCTATAGGGCAGGGCTATGGGGCAAGGGCTATGGGGCAGGGCTATGGGGCAGGGCTATAGGGCAGCTCTATGGGGAAGGTCTATGGGGCATGGCTATAGGGCAGGGCTATGGGGCAGGTCTATGGGGCAGGTCAATGGGGCAGGGCTGTGGGGCAGCGCCGTGGGGCAGGAGGGCCCTGGGCTCACTTGAGGGTCTCCACGGGCTTGGGGTCGAAGTTGCCCTCGGCGTCCACGGCCGCCTTCTTCTCGGTGCGCGAGGAGTAGCTGGCGTCGACGTAGTCGGGCGGGAGGGCGCCGGCGATGGCGCACAGGCACGGCATGGCCAGGCGGGAGAGCTCGGCGTCGAAGCGCTGCCGGCACCCGCGCCCATCATCATCGGCATCGGCATCGACGTCATGGTCATCGTCGTCATCGTTGTCATCGTCATCGTCATCATCGTTGTCATCGTCATCGTCATCATCGTTGTCATCGGCATCATCGTTTGTCATCGTCATCGTCGTCATCGTTGTCATCGTCATCGTCATCATCGTTGTCATCGTCATCATCGTTGTCATCGTCATCGTCATCATCGTTGTCATCGTCATCGTCATCATCGTTGTCATCGTCATCGTCGTCATCGTTGTCATCATCGTCATCGTTGTCATGGTCATCGTCGTCATCGTTGTCATCGTCGTCGTCATCATCGTTGTCATCGTCATCGTCGTCATCGTTGTCATCGTCGTCATCGTTGTCATGGTCACCGTCGTCATCGTTGTCATCGTCGTCATCATCATCGTTGTCATCGTCATCGCCGTCATCGTTGTCATCGTCATCGTTGTCATCGTCATCATCGTTGTCATGGTCATCGTCGTCGTCATCATCGTTGTCATCGTCATTGCCGTCATCGTTGTCATCGTCATCATCGTTGTCATCGTCATCGTCGTCATCGTTGTCATCGTCATCATCGTTGTCATCGTCATCGTCGTCATCGTTGTCATCGTCATCATCGTTGTCATCGTCGTCATCGTTGTCATCGTCATCATCGTTGTCATCATCATCATCATTGTCATCATTGTCATCGGCATCCGCATCGTCGTCATCGTCCGTCATCATTGTCATCATCATCATCATCATCATCATCGTCATCATCGTCATCGTTGGCGTCATCAGCATCATCGGTGGCGGCATCAGCATCGTTGTCATCGTCATTGTCATCGCCGTCATCGTTGTCATCATCCTCATCGTCATCATCGTCATCATCGTCATTGTCATCGTCGTCATCGGCATCATCATCGGCATCATCGGCATCATGGTCATTGTCATCGTCGTCGTCATTGTCATAGTCATCATCGTTGTCATCATTGTCATCGTCATCGTTGTCATCATCATGGACATCAACGTCATCATCATCATCATCATCGTCGTCGTCATCGTTGTCGTCATCATTGCCATCATCGTCATCCCCGTCGTCATCGTCATCATCAACCCATTGTCATCATCGCCATCCCATCCTCCTCCTCCTCATCATCCCCATCATCATCATCGTCCTCATCATCCCCATCATTACCATCTCCCCATAGCCATCCCTATTGTCATCATCATCATCCCCATCATCCTCCCCATCATCATCCCATTGTCATCATCATCATCTCCATCATCATCATCCCCATCATCATCATCCCCATCATCATCCCCATCGTCATCCCCGTCATCCCCATCATTGTCATCATCATCCCATCCCCATCATCCCCATCATCATCATCCCCATCGTCATCTCCATCATCATCATCATCCCCATCATCATCCCATTGTCATCATCATCATCCCCATCATCATCATCCCCATTGTCATCATCATCATCTCCATCATTATCATCCCCATCATCATCATCCCCATCGTCATCCCCATCGTCATCCCCATCATCATCATCATCATCCCATCCCCATCATCCCCATCATCATCATTCCCATCGTCATCATCTCCATCATCATCATCATCCCCATCATCATCATCCTCACCCCACATCCCCGTGCCCCCCATCTCCCCCCCGTGCCCCCCACCTTGTGCGCCAGGGACTGGAAGATGCCCCAGAAGAGCTTCCTGGTGAGGTGCAGCTCCTCCTCGGAGCTCACGCCGTGATTGGGCCACCCGCTGGGCAGGCAGTAGTACTTCCAACACCGCTCGTAGTGATTGGTCAGCAGCTGGGCGGGACGGAGGGCGATTGACCAATGGGGGCATCGCTATGGGGGGGGGGGGGACGGACGACCCCCATAATGTCCTCTCCATCGCCTCACCTTGAGCGGCATCTTGGAGAACTCATTGAGGATGGGCACGTCGAAGACCAGGCGGCGCAGGAGGTGCTGCAGCATCGAGGGGCTGATGTACCTGGGGGGGGGTTGGGGGCCCACGGTTGGGTCATGGTGCCCATGGTTGGGTCGTGGTGCCCATGGTTGGGTCATGGCGCCCATGGTTGGGTCATGGCGCCCATGGCTGGGTCATGGCGCCCATGATTGGGTCATGGCACCCATGGTTGGGTCATGGCGCCCATGGTTGGGTCATGGCGCCCATGGCTGGGTCATGGCGCCCATGGTTGGGTCGTGGTGCCCATGGTTGGGTCATGGCGCCCATGGTTGGGTCATGGCGCCCATGGCTGGGTCATGGCGCCCATGGTTGGGTCGTGGTGCCCATGGTTGGGTCATGGAGCCCATGGTTGGGTTTTGGTGTCATTGATTGGGTTGTGGTGTCAACGGTTGGGTCATGGCGCCCATGGTTGGGTCATGGAGAACATGGTTGGGTCGTGGTGCCCATGGTTGGGTCGTGGCGCCCATGGTTGGGTCGTGGCGCACATGGTTGGGTCGTGGCGCCCATGGTTGGGTCGTGGTGCCCATGGTTGGGTCCTGTCACTCATGGTTGGGTTCTGGGTGCCATGGTTGGGTCATGGTTGGGTTTTGGGTGTCATGGTTGGGTCCTGGCACCCATGGTTGTGTTTTGGGTGCCATGGTTGGGTTTTGGGTGCCATGGTTGGGTCCTGGTTGGGTTTTGGGTGCCGTGGTTGGGTCATGGTTGGGTTTTGGTTGCCATGGTTGGGTTTTGGGTTCCATGGTTGTGCCCTGGTTGGGTTTTGGGTGCCGTGGTTGGGTTTTGGGTGCCATGGTTGTGCCATGGTTGGGTTTTGGGTGCCATGGTTGGGTTTTGGGTTCCATGGTTGTGCCATGGTTGGGTTTTGGTTGCCATGGTTGTGCCCTGGTTGGGTTTTGGGTGCCGTGGTTGGGTTTTGGTTGCCATGGTTGGGTTTTGGGTGCCATGGTTGTGCCCTGGTTGGGTTTTGGGTGCCATGGTTGGGTCCTGGTTGGGTTTTGGTTGCCATGGTTGGGTCCTGACCCCCATGGTTGGGTCCTGGTTGGGTTTTGTTTGCCATGGTTGGGTCCTGGTTGCCATGGTTGTGCCCTGGTTGGGTTTTGGTTGCCATGGTTGTGCCCTGGTTGGGTTTTGGGTGCCATGGTTGGGTCCTGGTTGGGTTTTGGTTGCCATGGTTGGGTTTTGGGTGCCATGGTTGTGCCCTGGTTGGGTTTTGGTTGCCATGGTTGTGCCCTGGTTGGGTTTTGGGTGCCATGGTTGGGTCATGGTA